AGGAAGTCACTTCATTTCTCTGGGCCTCAGTTTCCTCATTTGTAACATGGACATTGTAGGATAAGCAGGTCTCGAAGGGTCCTTCCAACTTCGGAGCTAGGATATTAGTTGTTTGTACCAGTTAATTTGTCACAGGAGGAGAATTGTATTACTTCTTAACATTATTGTGGAGAAAGGGCTGTAACCAACTTTAATGCACCAGAGAAATGAGTTTTGCTGTTAAGAAACCTTTGACATAAAAGTTCATGAATGCTGTCATTCATTCCTTTAGAAGTCATGATCAAGTGGGATACTCTGCGGAATTTAACAAATATATTCCTTTATTACAACTCAATCATGCCAATTATATCTTAGCAATTCTAGGATATACTGAAACTTCTTTTTAAAAAGTACAGGGGAATGAGTTAATAGACTATATTTTTGACTAAACTGAGATGAGGGCAAGGGGAAGAAATAATAGGCTGCTCTTACTTTAAAAAATGCTTTTCAGTGAGAAATACTATCAAACAGGGGAATTTCATCAAGAAAAAGGCTTGAAGTTCAAACTTTCTTATGGTTTTCCAATTCAGTCCATGAAAGTCAAACATCTAAGAAGGTTAAAAATATTAAATGTTTTATTTATTAACAGTCTACTTGTTTTAGGAAAACTTATAACTGGTATACTGGTACAATTGGTCCTGTTTGTACAGACTTTCAAGTCTCTTAGACCCCTTGTACCATCAATGTAAAGTTTTAAAATGTCTATTTATGAGAGACTGCTGTACAGAAGGGCATGGACTTAAAACACTACAAATCCAGGACTTGCTCTTCATGAGAATTCTTCCCCCTCCTTCCCAATAAAGTCTTGCAATCCTTAATCTCCACTAAGAAGCGGGGTTCACTGGGTTACCTGCACCTGGCATGCAGGACTGGACATCTAGAAGCTTCCAAAACCTGGCGCTGCTCTAGTAGCCTGAGAGTCAGCCTAGTGTAGGAAATATCGCACTTAATTTGGAGCCACAAACACGTGGTTTTAAGGTCTGCCTCCGACACTGCCTCTGCTACTGCTGTAACTTGCATGTCAGAGCAACTCACTGGACCATCAACTGCAGAGAAGGTACCAATCTGAATTTCTTGATGCACGAGTTCATTATACCAATTAAGACACAGTCCCTCTCCCTATATTTTTAAGACCTGGAGAATGATATAATCACCTGGGATACTAAGTGGTTGGTAGTGACTATATCTTTACTATATGGGCTCTCATCTGGATGATCTTCAGGAAACTGAGGACAGGATGAGAAAGCATGGATGAGCTAAAAGCTGCACTGTTAGAGGAAATATCTGCATCGAAGTCCCACTGAAGAGACCCACTGAAGTACAGAATTTTATAGTTGATTCTTGGACATTAGATGTTAAATAACTGATTACAAGGACTCTATACAATTTCTAATCCTACCTGTTTCTATGGGAAAAGGTCTGCTTTACAATGATCCCTTTTATGATAATACCTCAAGGAAGGCACTATACCAACCACTGGGGAACACTTCCATATGAAAATATGCCATGGTGACTATGACTGGTCCCTAATGTATCTTGAATCTCATTTTGCTCTAATCCTTCAGAGAAAATGAACACTAGAGAATGATGTAATCATGAGTCTTGGCACAATCTAAGGTTGCAATCCCTTCCTTGATCCCCTATACAACACATGTAGTTGGGATAACCAGAGCAAAACCAGAGGTTCTAGTGCCTTTTTTTTTTTTTGGCTAGGCAATGGGATTAAGTGACTTGCCCAGAGTCACACAGCTAGTTAAGTGTTACGTGTCTGAGGCCACATTTGAACTCAGGTACTCCTGAATTCAGGGCCAGTGCTCTTATCCACTGCGCCACCTAGCTGCCCCTGCTTTTTTTTTTTTTTACCAAATCACTTATAAGTAGGTCAAAGATATAATTTGATTTAGCACACATGTGATGCTCCTTTAACAATTATGAATTTATTATGAATGTAAAGGTTCTTAATTTTAAAAAAACTTCTAGGAAAAGATTATAGAATAAAATAATAATATTTCTATTTTGTTTGAGGTCATTAACTGCTAGAAATTCTCTCAGGCTGGGCACTATTTTGGGCTGTCTCTCAATTAAACAGAATCCTTTCCAGATATTAATCTGCAAATACACAGTGAGAGACTTCAAAGTAGACAATGGGGAAAAAAAAAATCTATCCAGTCCCTTATACCTAGAATGCATACCTTCATCACCCTAATTTCTTAGAATTCTTGATCTACTCAAGTCTAAGCTCTCAGGTACTAAATATTGTGGGAAGCCTTTCCTGATTCTTTCACAGACAGGGCTTTTTCTCAGCTCAAATTATCTTGTATTTTTGTTCTACATGTTGTAACTTCTAAATCGCATGAAAGCTCCTTAAGGGAAGGGGCAGTTTTTTGTTTATGTGTTTTTATTTTTAGTACCTCGCACTTTGTCTAGCAGACAGCACATGCTTAGTAAATGTATACTGAACTGAAATGTACAGGTCACAGGAACAAAGAGGGCCAATTTAGGGTTGTGCTCCAACACACCACACCTATGTTAATTAAATGACTTACTGCAGTGCCAAGCCAACAAAATTAGATGAAATAAAATCCATTTGGAGGAACAAAAGGTATGGACTATCAAGAAAAATAAAGAAGAAAAGTAGAAGGCACCTAACATTGCCAAACCTACAAAGTAGTAGTAATCTTCAAAACTATTTGGTATTGGTTAAAAAACAGAAAATCAGCTCAGTTGGAAAGACCAGACAAGAAAGACATACAAATGAAATAATCACCCAGTGTTTGATATACATAAGAACAAAAAGTGCTAGGGAAGGATATTTTATTGGAGAAGAACTATTGGAAACTACTAGAAAGTAGTTTGGCACAAAACAGGAATAGTTTAGCATCTTATAGTATATACCAAAATAAGCTCTAACTGGACTATTAAAAGTGATCTAAGTATAAAAAAAGTTCTATGGAAAAAATAAAAATAAAAATACAGAAGGCAACCCTCTTCACAACTTGGATCAGAGGAAATAAATAACAATCAAAGAAAGATAGGAGATAACAAAAGAGAAAATAACTTGTATAAAAAATTAAAGAGAATCATTTTCACATCAAATGTCTCTGATAAAAGTTTGATATCTAAGCTATATAAGAGAAATGACACAAATATAAGATCTATTTCCCAGTGAATCAAAGGATATAAACAATAATTAAAAGAAACATAAACTATCAATAATCACACAAGAGAAATGCAAATTAAAACAATATTAAAGTTTAACCTAATATACACCAAATTGTCACTAGCAAGTTCTTTTTATGATATACTAGATATACTAGAAATTAACTGGCATAAAAACCAAAAGTCAACAATAATAAAAAACCAACATAGCTTCAATGATTAAACATTACAGTATGGTACAGTGGAAACTATGCATGATTTGGAGGCAGAGGAGTTAGGTCTGAGCTATTATTTATTACTTGTGTGACCCTGGGCAGGTCACAATATCCTGGAACACCAAGTAACTCTCTTAAGATTCTAAGCTACACATAAGTTGCTGGCCTGTACTGGTGAGGGAAATTTCCGTAACATACTCCTAACATACTTGGACCCATCTCTACCACCAAGCACACATATATGTATAATTTAAAAAATTGTATGTACAAATATTTATTTCTAAATCACAACTTAAAAAATGCATCATGCCAGCTTACCACTAAAGTAAATCCCATGAGAATTTCTCTTACAAAAAGGATCACCATATCTATTTTTTTAAAGTTAGATTTACATTTGGTAGGATTTTGTTTACAAGGGACATTTTTTTATTAAAGAATGCTCATGAAAATCATTAAAAATGAAAAAAAGAGAGCAAGTATATACAAGAATTATAAAATACAGTTCTGCATAAAAGATTCGGCTTATTATGACAGGTCTATAGACAAGTTTCCAATGAGTATACCACGAATACTCAATATATACCAGAATGTATTATGTACTAAGTACATATATACTATGGTGACAACCCTCAATATGTAACAGATCCTGTAAAAGAACTTTTAGCAGACGGCAAAGTCTGAAACTACAGCATTTTGAATGAAGTGTCATAAGGAAGATACTTCATATTATTCAGAATTCCTTAAAATTCAGTCAGTCTAGTCAAGGATGTTAATATTGTCCTAAAGAATGGGCTCCTAGAAATAGATCTCCAGCGTTTATTCAAAATATTAAAACCACAACTATTAGACCTTCAACTATATTAAATGGTGTTGCTGTTTTATGATTCAATTTAATAAACATTTATTAAGTACCTACTATGTGCTAGGCCCTTTGCTAGACATTGGGACTACAAGGACACAAGTAAAATTGTCCCTGCCCTCAAAAGTTTTACATTGTATCAGGAGGAAACAGCATGTCCTCTAATAAGCAAATTTTAAAAATGCATACAAAATAATTTCCAGGGGGAAAGGCATGGATGTATATGAAAGGGCAGTTTGTTACCAGTAGTACAGGGGTTCTGGAAGGCACAAAATGCAAGGGACAGGGATGGTGGAAAGACAAGGCTGACAGGCAATGACAGTGGAAATGGAATACTGGTCCTGGAAGGGAGTTTGGCCTCGGCAGCCTACCACTAAGAATCAAAAGAATTTCAGGTAGAACAAGAGGGCAGTTTTAGACCACCACTGAACTACTAGTTTAACAAAGGTAATGTTAAAGGTAACCAACCCCTGAAAAGGGTTGTGGTATAGATGCAGAAGCAGAACAGGTGTCTCATCTATTGCTGTTATACTGCACAAACAAGAAATGCAAAAGTAATCACCTATTGTGCAATACATTTAGTCCAAAATGTCTAGATTTTTTTTTAACCCACAATTATTTGGAAATGGAACTGATAATTAACTATTAAATTTTAAATATCTGAATACATGAGTCAAATACGGCATATTTCTTAAAATAAAACACACACACAAAACCATTAAACGTACCTTGAAAGGGAATCAGTCTAAAAAGAAGGGAAAAAAGAAAGAAATTAATTTTTATGCTTTCATTGGAAAATAAACTAGTTACAAGTGATTGTAATATGGCAACAATCTAGTTAAGGCACACACGAAAAAAGGCAAACCATTTCCTGGCAGTAGACTAACTTATCTGAACATCTAAATTTTATTCTGTTGCTCATAACAACATATATTCAAGTGCAGATATGAAGGAAAATAAAATATGGCTGAATTTAGAACCCTGTTAAAATCCTAAAGAAATGGTTTTAAATGAACAAAACTTGTCACATTTATTTTCATTAGTCACCTTGAAAAGAGAAGTCCACACTATTCAAGCACTCCTCAAACTCCTTCCCAACTATTCCACCAAAACTGTTCTCCCAGAAATTAATTACCTAATTCCAAAATCTAGTCACTTTTTCTGAGTCTTCATCCTTCAAAGCCTCTCTAGTGCTTACCCCTCCCTATCACTTTATTTTCCCTTGGCTTCTCTACACTACTCAAATGTTTCTCTTCCTATACCTCTTACCATTCCTTCTCTGGCTCTTGTATTGGCTCGATTTTTCACTGCCATTCCCTAGGACCTTTTTCTTTGCTTTCTTCCTTTCTCCTCCTACTCTTCCTTGGGATCTCATCTACTATCACAGCTATAACAGTCCAGATCACTACAGATGTGTCTCTCCAGCCCTGTGCTCTCTCTCAAGCCCCAATTCTGCATTTCCAAACTCTAGTAACTGGGAGACAACTCAAACCCATATTTAAAACATTGAATCCGTGATTTTTATTTTCTCTGAATGTCTCCTTTATTTTTGTAAATGGCATCACCATCCACATTTGAGATGTTTTGATTTGAGACCTAAAAACTTCCCACCAGCTTAATATACAAAATCTACTACTTTTTTCCTTCTCACTATTATAAATGTTAATCAGACATTCAACAGATCACTATTAATGAATTTCTTCTGGCTTTAGTTAGCCAAAAGAAAAAGAAACTAAGAGTGGAGGAAAAATAGGGAAAGAAGTCTGATAGGTGGCACAAAACACCACTTTTACTAATTCTTATTTGCAAATGAAGCTAAATACTAGATATAAAAAGATTTCTAAATCTAGATTTCAAGTTCCAAATTTACAATCCTATAAATGAATTAAGTTGCTGGATTTATTTATAGTCAATTACACTGAAGACTGATTAACCTTCCTGATTCTAAGGTCCCCTGGTTATTTTATCTATTATACCATGCTGCCTCTTAAGAGACAAACTGTAAGGGTGAAACTTTTTGTGGTATACAATGCACATTCTTAACACAGATATGTGGACTTCTCAAAACACAGAAGAATGATCTAGGGCTTTTAAACATTTGATAAAATGCCATTTTTTTTGGTAGTTAACTGAATTCAATACACGTTTTCTAAACAAGGATTTATGCTAGGCATTTTGGAAATACAAAGACGAATTAAGGCATGATGCCAGCCTAGGAAAAATTCAGTCAGGAGGGTCAAGGCAGATGCACAGATAACTAAATATCAGGTACAATAAGTGTGACAGAAGAACAGGCAAAAAAAATACTCCAGGGGCTTAGAGGAAAGAGAGAAACATCCAGTATAATCAAAGATAAGAAGTGGGGGAAAACCAATAAATCAGCAGGCACTGCGGGATACAAAGGCAAAAATGAAACAGAACCTAAGCTCAAAGAGCTTCTATCAGAGATAATATGTGTATAAAAATATATAAAAAATAACATACAAATATACACGTGCACACGTGTGTGTGTGTGTGTGTGTGTGTGTGTGTGTGTAATGCGGGGAATTAACAAAGGCTGAAGGTAGAAGATGGTGACTGAAGGATCTTAAAAAAAGGTTATGAATTTGACAGGCACCAATAAACCTTGACAAGGCCATCTACAATAAATGTTTCTGCTTCCTTCCCTCTTACATTCTTAAGTGTCTTCAGTCTGGCTTCCAATCTCATCATACAACAGAAACTGCTTTCTCCAAAGTTAGCAAATATTTCTGGATTGCCAAATTCAATGGACAGTTCTCAACCTTCTTGACTTGGTTTCAGCCTTTGACACTGTTAATCACCCTTTTCTCCTTGATACTCTTATAAGCTTTTATAATGTTCTCTCCTGGTTCTCTTCTCACCTCTCTGACCACTCCCGTTCCTTCTGTTTGTTTTTTTTTTCTGGATCTTCATCAGATTCATTACCTGATAACTATATGTGTCCCATAAGGCTGTATTTACGGTCCTCACCTCTCTTCTCTATTTTACTTAACTTGGTGATTTCATTAGCTCCCATGGATTCAATTATCATCTTGCTGCAGATGACTCTCTCTACTTAACTAGCCTTAATGGCTGCTAACCTCTAACCATGCATCTCCAAATTAGATAGCATTATGTGTAAATCTTAAAAAGTGCTGCATTATTATGATTAAAATATAAATCTCATTGTGTACTGGTTTTCTTAAAGCATGCACCAAATCCAGCAGGATGGTTCTAAAAGTTGTTTCACTTGTTTGTATTTCCCTCCAAATGTGTTTCTCTTTTCTTTCGGTGCATCTTTAAAGCACCTTATTCATATGCCTTTTTCTTTATTGCTATCACTACCCACTTTGTTGCCCCCTCAAAATTAAAAACAACAAACCTAGCCATCTATCAAGTTAGCACAGTCATGCAAAGCTGATCAACATAATTTCCACGTCCTAAAATGTAGGTTTCATTTGGTGCCCCTAATTCATCTTTTCTCTGTAGAGATAATATGAACTCTGATTAATGCAATGACCAACAATAGGATCTATGATGAATCACATTATCCATTTTCTCAGAGAGGTGATGGACTCAAGGTGCAGAAAGTGACATACCTTTTCGGACATGGCCACTGTGTGAAACCATTTTGCCTGACTATACTTACTTGTTACAGGGGTTTATTTTTTTCCTCTCGCATTTTTTTTTATTTTTTAATTAATTTATTTGTAGTTTTCAACAATCACTTCCATAAGCTTTTGAGTTTTAAATTTTCTCCCCTTCCCTCCCTAAGATGGCATACAATCTGATACAGGCTATACACATACATTCTTATTAATCATATTTTCATATTAGTCATGTTGTAAAGAAGAATTAGAACCACAGGAGGAACCACAAGAAAGAAGAAACAAAACAAAACAGAAGGAAAAAAAAGAGCACATTCCCTCTCACATTTTTGATGGATTAGGGGAGAAGAAGGTTAGTTATACTTCACAGGGAAAAAAAAAAACCCAGCCACTGGAATTCTTCAAATGTACAGTAAAAACTATAAAGCAGTAGTTATCAAAATAATTTGGTACTGGTTAAAAAATAGAGTCAATGAGTGGAAAAGCTTAGTTACACAACACAGAAAGCAAACAAATCTACTAGACTAGTATCTGATAAAACCAAAGGCCTCACCTACTGGGGTAAGGACTCTATTTGACAAGAACTGTTGGGAAAACAAGAGAGTTGTTTGCTGGGATTAGGTTTAGATCTACAGAGAGGGGAAGAGTTCATGACCAAACAGAGGTTAGAAAGGATCACAGAAGATAAAAGACAATTTTGATTACAAGAAACATAAAAAGTTTTTGCATGAACAAGCCCAATGTAGCTAAGATTAGAAGAAAAAGTTACCTTGGAAAAATCTTTGTAGAAAATTTTTCTGTTAAGAATTTCATTTCCAAGAAATACGAGGAAGTAATTCAAAATTTATAATGGTAAGAACAACTGACAAATGGTTGAAAGATATGTGTGCAAGTAGTTCTCAAAGGAAGAAATACAATCTATCTATAGTCATATGAAAAAATACTTTAAATGCAAATTAGGGTAACTCATTCATCAGACTGGCACAAAAAAAAAAAAGGAAATCATTGGAGGGCTTGTGGAAAACAAGCATATTAACTCACGTGGTAGGCCTGTGAATTAGTCCAGCCATTCAGAATAGCAATTTGGAACTATGCCCCCAAAATTAATAAGCTGTAAGAGTGGTAATCATACCCTCTGACTCAGAAAAAAATCACTATGAGGACCATATCTTTAAAGAGTTGAGAGAGAGAGAGAGAGAAAGAGAGAGAGAGAGAGAGAGAGGAGACCCATGCGTACAAAAAATATTTATAGCAAGTCTTTTTTTAGTGGAAAAGAATTGGAAACTATAGGGGTCTCTGTCAACTGGCTCACCTCTGTGAGCTTCAGTTTTCCATTTGGTTAATAACATTTGCAATATCTACATTACAGAGCTGTTGAGAAATAAATCTCTTTTTAAAATAAAAAATGTGTGTTATCTCTTAAAAATACCTCAACTATTTAGTTTCAGTGTTACCAGGAAAATGGTAGTTTCTGGCTGCTTACTAACATATCAAAACAAAACAAAAAATTCTTTTCCTAAAATCCACAACTAGACAAATGGCTAATAAAACAGTTTTTTTTGTTTCCTCATGTTCTGTTGGGATACCTAAGAAGCTGAAAGAGCTGCAGAGAAATGCTTACACTTCAGAGGGAAACGACATTTTCACACATTGCTGCTTTAAGGAACCAGTTGAGGCCTTTTGTAAAGTAGGTTCTGGTTTGACCGTCCAAGCAGTTGCCCAAGAGCTCTCAAAGTATAAAACAGTGTTGTCCCATTGAAATGACAGGAAGAGATTTGGGAAAGTTAGAGTTTAATAATGTATCCAGGGCATAATTAATAGACATCTTGTGACTTTAAAGTTAGCTTATTTTTAAGTTAAAGGCTGACAATAACATTTTAGTCTTTTTGCAAAACCTCATTACTAATAATGTAATGCTGTCTTTGTTAATTTTGACTATTTTTCTGGGGGGAATAATGAGGGAGGGTCTGAAACTGTGATCTAATTAGTGGAGAAGCCCAACAGAAACTCTACTAGTGTTTAAGAATTGCCTAAGGCACAAGGAGGTTAAAGTCAGAGCCACACAACTGAAGCAGAATTTGAACCCCATCTTCTTGACTTTGTGGCCAACTCTAGTCTATCCACTATACTACACACTGCCTTTGAACTGCAAATGTCATCTCAAAATTGATTAACAATTTGTTCGAAAGAAAAGATAAAGCTTCACAAAAACAGCTGGGTAACAAAGTTGTATTATCTAAATCTAACTTCAGAATGCATTTTAAATTCAGAACGTAAAGAGAAACAAGAGAAGAAGACACTATGAAAGTATCAACACTTCATGAAACTTCTGACTTTTCCTTAAAAATATGCCACCCTTCTTTAAAAAAAATCCTGCTGAGAATGAAAATACAAAGTCATGAGTCAGACAGAATTTAAAATGAGTTCATTTTATTAAATTTAACTGCAATGAAAAAGTTATGTTAGCATACCATTTCTTCCCCAAAAGACATCTGAATAATGAAGTTTACCTGAGTGTCTTTTTTATTTGATCCCTCTTCAGAATCAGACTGCTGTTCCTGTTCATTTTCATCACTCTGAAACAGATTTTTAATGTTTTTAGATAGCTCAATTTAAATATTATCAATAGTTGGCATTAAGAATTTTAAGTCTTATTTAAATAATCTCATCTGGGAAAATTCTAACATGAAGTAAACAATTTTAAAATAGGAATTCTTTTCTACTGTATAAGCTTTTTGCATTATAAAATGTCTGTAATAATGACTAGAAGTCTAGGAGGAAAGGGGGAACAGTTATATAACAAAACAGTTGGAATAAATATCAACAACAGTTAATGACAATTGTGGACAAGAAAAGGAGAGAAGGGAGATAAACATACTATAATTTGGTAGTGAAATAATCCTATAATTCAGCAGTCAAGTACCATTGGCTTTGGCTGTTCAATGAGAGGCTCAATGGCTTCTTGTTGGGATATAACTGAGGGTATTTATGCTTCAGACTGGGGCTGGAGGAGATAACTCTTCAAATCCTTTGGAATTCTATGAATTTCAGTGAGGAAGAATACGGAAAGTTGACTAAAATAAGTTTCATTTCCCACTTTTTTCTAACTGTGAAACCTTGCGCAAATCTTGGAACCCCTCTGGGCCTCAACTGATACACAATGAGCTGAATAGATTAGAGAAACCAGCAGGGGGAAACAACCAATGGGATACAGCTGTCCATACTCTCCCTTGTACAGGAATTTAGTCAAAAGGCTGATGAAGGTAGTTGATGCTCAAAGCAAAATATTTATTAAGACAATGTAGATTTGGAATTGAAAAGAAGTTTACAGATGACGTTTTAACTAATCTACTAGCAGAAGAAGGTATCATCAATTTTCAAGCATAATACAGTTACAACTAAGAAAATGACTTCTGAAATTGGGGTTCTGTGTCCTGTATATTTATTAAGTTGTTAATAAATGTCTGCATAAAGGAAATGAAATGCTTTACAGAAAGGAAACTGTTGCCTTAATATTAATGAAAAGTAAATGTAATGAAAAGTAAAACTAAATAGTAAGTAAAAGTAAAACTAAAAATGCTAAAATACTTAGGGCCACCAAAGTTTGGAAATAGGAAATAGTGCAAAGATGCTGTTTGTCTTTTTGTTAAATGCCTGGGTCAGGAGAATAGTTTGATATAACATCACCATCTTGTAGCTTTTATCTAGGGCAAAAGGAACACATCAAATACATTAATAGTGACTGGAGAATGAATTATTTTTTATAGGATCAGTTGTTGTAGACAATTTTTAATAAGGAGAACAAAAAAAAGCAATGTTTTATGGACTATACACTAGGGTTCATTACTGTTACAGAGATGTTTTTTATAATAGTATTTGGCCTGTGAGATCTTTCTTTTAAGAATCTCCAAAATAAATGAGAGATACAAGTAAGTACTTATGTTCAAGAAAACCCAAATGGGCTAGTCTGGAGGCATTAATGTTTCCAAAGGGCCAAGATAGATGGTAATTATTTTTGTACAAAGGAGTGTGATGGTTGTTTTAAACAACTCTAAGATAAAAACTATAGAGCTGGTTCAAAAGTATATTCTGATCAATCCTTATAGCTTCTTCAAGTACAAAAAGTATTAGTGAATACCAATGTGGAAGGCACTGTTATATTGCAAAGATGTCAAGACATGTAAGATGTGGTCTTCACGTTTAAGGAAATCTTGAAATCTAGCACTTAATTAAGTTACTGCCCTAATCTACACAATTAGTAACACTGACAGGACTTGAAAGGAGCCATTTTGGCAGCTTCTTCACTCACATCTTGTGTCCAAAGTGGAACTCCAGTAGATCTCCGCTTCTCTCTTGGTCGCCGTCGTTCTCGTATTGATTTCGTTTGTGATTTATCTTCTCCTTCTTTTTCTTCCTCTTTTTTTTCACCATCTGCTAAAGATACGTGACTAAGATAGTGACCAGAATGTATTTTTTTCCCCTCCTATCATGACAGTAATAATCAGGATATGCACATAAGAGAGTGCAATTAACTCTGGGTGTGGAAATATCTCCAGTTAGAGGCTAGCAGGATCACCCTTGCTAAATATCACCTTTGAGTAAGTTTTCATTCTCAGAACTATCAATGTGGCCTGTCAGCTTTCAGAAGGAGTTAAGTTCTCATTTCAATCACTGAGAATATTACTTAATAATTCTATTACTTGAGAACCTAGGAATAAATTCTGTTTGCCTGGAAGAAGACATACAATATTAAAGAAATAGAGCAGTGGCACAGTCAAGATGTTGGAGTGACAGCTGGAAACTTTGCTCTAGTTCCTCCACCAACTCCTCTACAACAACCTATAAAATGCACCAAAATGAATTTTCAGTGGGGAAAGCCAAGGAAAAAAAGTCACAGTGAGTCATTTTTTCAGTCCAGGGTAGATTAGAAAGAAGATAGAGGTCTGTGGACACTGGGGTAAGGGTTGGCCAGAAGTGCGGCACGTCAGCCCAGTGCTCAGAGATGCAAAGAGGACTAAACAACTAAGTGGAAAGAGACCCCAGGGCACTATTGTACTAGCACTGGGAGTAGGAACAGGTGCCATCCGGCAGCTCTGGTGCTCACTACTCAGTTCCTGGTCACAGTTTCAGAGTGGTGAGGGAGGAGGGGCCCTACTTGTATAAGGAAGAAATATGTTCCAGAAATATAGCTGTGTAGCTATGAGGTCAAGAGCTGAGGGAGGAATTAGCCTTAATCTGTAGTCCCTCACATAAGCCAGCAGTGGAATAAACCAGGGCAGGAGACCAAAAACAAGGGAAAATCAGCAGTTCTGTCACTCTGAACCTGCAGACCCATCTGAGTGGGCTAATTGTGATGGAGTCCAGCAGCAGTCTACAGAAACTCACACAAACTTAGAGACCCAAACTGGGTTAGGAATTTAAAGAGTGTAGATCAGTATGGTAGTGAACAGACTTCTTCCCACATCACAGCACTTTGGAAGCACAGAAAAATTACAGGTCCCCAGAATGAGCCATGAAAGTAGCAGAAATACATAAAAGACAGAAGCTCAGCCTGTTATTCTCCCACCATCACCCCCAAGAGGCAGGCAGAGCTCAACACTGACAAAAATCCCAAAGTCAAGAAGTAGGCTAGAAAAAGAACAAATAAAGAACCTGACCATAAAAGGCTACTATGGTGATAAGGAAGCTCAAGACACAAACATAGAAGAATATTAGACTTGAAAACATCTACAAGCAAAGCCTCAAAGAAAAAAAATGCAGATTGGATACAAGACCAACAAAATTTCCTAGAAGAGCTAAGAAGAGATTTTTTTAAAAAGGAGGGGAAAAAGATTTTAAAAATCAAATAAGACCAGTAGTAGAAAAACTGAGAAAAGAGATGAGAACAATAAAAGAAATTATGAAAAGAAAATTAACAACTTGGTAAAAGAGGCACAAAAATACTGAAGAAAATAACTCCTTAAAAATCAAAACTGGCCAAATGTTAAAAGTATACAAAATCTCATGGAAAAAGATAACACTTTAAAAATTAGAAAACTGCCAAAAAGAAGCTAATAACTATATAAGACATCAAGAAACAATACGTATCTTATAGGAAAAACAACTAATTTGGAAAAAAGATTGAGGAGAACTAGTTTAAGAATCATCAGACTACCTGAAAAACATGAGTAAAAGAAAAGAGCCTAGAAATTATGAAGGAAAATTACTCATATGCGACAGACCCACAGGGCAAAATAGAAACTGAAAGAATCTAACAGTCACTTGAAAGAAATCCCCTCCAACCCCCTTCCTTTCCAAAAAACAAACAAACAAAAAACAACTCCCAGGACATTAGAGCCAAAATCTAGAACTCCAAGGTCAAGGAGATAATCCTACAAGAAGCCAGAAAGAAAGAATTCAAATACTGTGGAATCAGTTAGGATCACACAAAACTTAGTAGCTACCACAATAAAGAAAGGGCTTAGATTATAATATTCCAGAAGGCAAAGGAGAGATGATTACGATGAAGATACCCTACCCAACAAAACAGAGTATAATACAACAGGGGGAAAATGGATGTTAATGAAATAGAGAACTTTCAAGCATTTCTGATGAAAAGACAAGAGTTGAATAGAAAATCTGACATTGAAACACAAGATTCAAGCAATCATAAAAAGGTAAAGATGAGTGAGAAACCATAAGAGACTAAACAAGGTTAAACTGTTAACATTTCTCTATGGGAAGATAATACACAGATGTATCATGACATACCCCTCAGAACTCTTGTCATCACCAGAGCTGCAAGAGATATAGATAGAGGGCATGAGTGTAAGTCTGTTATGTAGATATGATCTCAAAAGAATAATGTAAGAGTAAGAAAGGGACGTTCTGGGAGTGGGGGTAAAAAGAGGAATGGGGAAACTTATATAAATGGGGCACCAAGGAAGAGTTTATACAGTGGAGGGGAGAATGGGAGTGGGGAGAGGAGTGGGAAACAATTAAATCTCACGCTCTTCTGAACTGGGTTCAAGGAAAGAAGAATATACGTACATATGTAGCTGGGTAAAGCAATTCATCTTACTCAACTAGGAAGTAGGAGGGAAAAGGGGTAACCTAATGTTTGATAAACCCAAAGACTTCAGCTATTGGGGTACAAAATGTCTGACAAAAACAAAGAAAACAGTCTGGCAGAAACTGGACACAGATCAATATCTCAATTACCTTCCCTCCCCCAAAAAGCTCAAAATGGGTTCATGTTTTAGACATAAATGGTGATATATATATATATAAAATGGAAGAAACTATCTATCGTAGCTATGGATAGTGGAAGGGTTTATGAGCAAACAAGAGATAAATAGGTTCATGGGAGGTAAAATTTATAATTTTGAATACATAAAATTAAAGTTTTTACACAGACAAGACCAATGCAGCCAAAATTACAAGAAAAGCAGGAAACTGGGAAAAAATTTTGCAGCAAGATTCTCTGATAAAGATCTCATTTCTCTAACATATAGGGAACTGAGTCAAGTTTATAAGAATAAAAGACAATCCTTAATTGATAAACGGTCTGATTATTTTCAAAGGAAGAAATCAAAGCCATCAATAGTGATATGAAGAAATGTTCTAAATCACTAATAATTAGAAAAAATGCAAATTAAAACCATTCCACACCACACCCATCAGATTGGCTACCATGATAAATGCTGGAAGGGATGTGGGACCATCTACTTGATCTATACCTCAAAGAGATAAAAGGAAAAGAAAAAGGAAAAGGATCCACATGTACAAAAATATTTAGAGATCTTTTTATTCTGGTAAAGAACTGGGAACTGAGGGGATACCCATCGATTAGGGAATTGCTTGACAAGTTATGGTATGAATGTGAGAGAATACTACTGTGCTATAATAAATGATGTTACCATAAATGATTTTCAGAAAAATCTTGGATGATTCACATGAATTGATACAAAGTGAAGTGAGCAAGCAGACTAAGAGAATAATGCACAGAGTAACAGCAATATTGTAAAAATAATCAACTGTGAAGGACTTAGTAACCTTGATCAACACAAAAGCATACTCTAATTCCAAAGAACTCATAATGAAAAATTCTATCCACCTCCAGAGAGACAATGGATGAACTCAGGTATAAACTGAAGTATTATTTTCTCACTTTATTCTTCTTTCTTCTGTTGTATGATATGGCTAATATGGAAATATTTTTTGCATGATTTCACACGTATAATTGATATATTGCTTGCCTCCTCAGTGGGTGGGCAGTGGCTGAAGAGAGGGAGAGGATTTAGAACTCAAAATGTAGAACGTGGACAAGTGGACTATCAAGTTTCTTTTCATCAGAATGTTGAAAGCCAAAGCTGGCTGAACACCCTGAGGAGATACCACAGAAAGAATTCATAATTCAGGGATAAGTTAGAATAGATGATCTTTGTGGTCCCTTCTAAAACTGTACATACTTGTTCCCTCTTCACTTTCAAAGGTCTACAGAAAAGTGGTGTTTTTTTTAAATTTAGTATTTTATTCTTCCCCAATTACATGTAAAAATAATTAACATTTCTTTTTAAAACTTTGAGTTCCAAATTTTCTCCCTTCCTCCCTCCCCACACCACCTCATTGAGAAGACAAGTAATTTGATATAGGTTATATATGTGTAGTCATACAAAACATATTTTCATATTAGTCATGTTATGGAAGAAAACATTACCCCCCCCCCAGAAAAAAAAATCTCAAGAAAAATAAAGAAAGGAAAAAAAGCATGCTTCAATCTGTATTCAGATACCATCAGTTCTTTCTCTGGGGATAGCCAGTATTTTTCATCTTAAATCCTTCAGAGTTGTCTTGGGTCATTGTATTGCTGAGAATAGCTAAGTCATTCACAGCTGATCATCTTACAGTATCGCTATTACTTTGTACACAGTACATTTTACTTTGCATCAGCTCACGTTAAGTCTTTCGAGGTTTTTCTGAGAGCATCCTGCTCATCATTTCTTACAGCACAATAGCACTCCATTACAATGACATACTACAATTTGTTCAGCGATTCTATAATTGATGGGCATCCCCTCAATTTCCAATTCTTTTCTATCACAAAAGAACTGCTATGAATATTTTTGTACCAATAGGTTAAAAAGGTGGAATTCTCTGACCAGTAGTACTACTTATTTTCCCAAGGAGGTAATAATGAGTAACAAGAGGAAAAATATCCAAGTAAAGCAATGCATTCTTACCTCTTTCATTATCTTTTGTTAAACCTCTGGAATAAGCAGATGTTATACCTATGAGACTATTTGGCCTGTTTAATTGACTTGTAGTATAGAGAGAACTGCTGATGGTGGAAAGTGAAGATGATGATGGAGCAGTTGAACTTGAGGTTGACACTGGTCTATAACGCTGATAGGGCTATTGAACAGAAAATTTAAAAATATACATAAGCAATTATTATATTTCACTTTAAAGAAAGCTAATCATTGTTTCATTGTTATTATAAAAATCAATCAAAGTTCCCAATTAAAGCCTTTATTTCAAGAAAAATTACTCATCACCTCGTCATATGTCCTAGAGTATTTCTGCTTATATTCATCTTCTCTGGAAGTGTCTGACTCCTTTTTGTCTTCTTGCTTTTCTTTGTCTTGTTTTTCTTTTTCTTCTTTCTCTTTTTCTTCACTTTCTTGTTCTCTGGTTCGAGTAGATCGACTTCTTCCTATAGTTTTCTCAGCTTCCTGAAGATCAGTCAATGTCACTCCCTATAGGCAAAAAAGGCAAACTAAGTTGCAATATGCACATTCCATCCCATTGACAAAAGTGACTTCACAGACACACAAGTGTGTACACATGCTTACAGAAGCAGATCCCCAGAATAAAGTAACTGATGAGACAGTAGTGTGTATGGATTTAAAAAAAAAAGCAAAGACCATTTAGAACAGGCTTCGAAATTGAGAAAAAGTTTATCTTTCCAGTCATTCCTTCATTCAATGAACCAATCAAATACGAGCCCTGCTGTATGCCAAAGAGCTGGTGAGGTGCTGAGGGATACAAGTAAAACGTGGTTCCTATCCTGAAAAAATATATAACCTAATTCAGGAGAGGTGGCACATACACATTTACAAAACAAAAATAAAAACTAAGAATGAAACATGGTTCTATTTTGGTTCATTTCTCAATGTGGGCTGCATCTAAGACTACATGTTTTTGAAAGGAAATTGAGTCTGTGTTTAATATGTAGGTATACGTTTAAGATATAGTCATGTATGTGGAAGGAATCTGACTTGGCTGTAGCACAAGGCTCTTATGGGGCAGATAGGTAGAATGGCAGGTTGAGTCAGATTGGGAAGGGTCATATGTCTGATGACAAAAAAAAAAAGCGGCTATCAGTCCAACACTAGGAAAGGAAGGAGTGACTGGTGGAAGAATGTGGCTATTATAATAGCAAATTTATTTCAAAATGTTAAAAAAAAAAAAACCTTGGTCATGACAGTATAGTAAGGACACACAAATTCCTCCTCTCCTCTCCTCAGCCTAGCACCAAGATGTTCTCTAGGGATAAATGGGCAATGATGTCTTCTGAAAGAGAAGTATTTTCAAAGTGAATGATATTTCAAATTAATGGTAATGAAAACAATCCCTTTGATTATTTCTCTTTCACAGTATCATATGGATATTCAACTCTTTGCAACTGAGTCATTGTTAGAAATGTTATATTAATTCATTATTGATAGTAGTCTCATTTGCAGTAGGCCTGGATGTCTAGATGAGCGATTAAAAAAAAATCATACATTTATAGATAAAAGATATATACTCTAAAAATTCTATAGATGGAAAAATTATACAAGGCCCTAAGCCTGCCATACTTATTACTATTCATCTAGCAATTTTCAACTCCAGTTAAGTGCTCCTGAATAATGCATATCTAAACATCTTTTAAATACAGGGTCAGGCAAACTTCATAAAGTAATATTGCCAAGTTCCTGATCCTTTTCCTTTTAGCATTCCAGGAAAATTACTCGCAGCCTGTCCATAGAATCTCCCAGCAGGTGACAAGCACTGGTTTTTCCAAGTGGCAGGGAGGGACCTGCAGAAGTGATGACTGATCCGTACAGCACTGAATGACCAATCAACATTTCTGAAGTACCTACGTACTCTGGTATACTCTCCCCAAATGACATAATCCTACTCTCAAAGAGCTTACATTCTAGTGGCTTGTGTATGGCACTTGCATCACAGGTTCCTGATATCTGATTCAGAAAACAAGACTTGTTTTTATACTATATGGAAAATATTTTGTGAATTATGATTTGATCTCAATAATATGAAATATGTCTGAAAAAGAAAAATAAGCATTTTGATAGGACAATGCCAACAATCACTCTAATATTAGTACATATTAGCCTTTAATTTTTTTCCAATGTTGTCAAATTTTTATATGTAAGACTTCTAAAGATAAAGAAATCTTATGATGATGACGACTCCAAACTTCCATTTAAGAAGAGAGCTTAGCTCAGTCATCACGTCACTTCTCACTTGGCTATCCCCCACTCTGGGATATTTCTACCATGTGCCATGTGGAGATATCATATTACCTTCTGCTTCTTCACTCCCCACAGCCTCTGCCCTTTTAGCTTCCTTCTGTGTTGTCTTCCCTGATTAGATTGTGAGTTCAAGGGCAGGGACTGTCTTTTTTGATATTTGTATCCCTAGCATTAGTACATAGTATCTGCCACACAGCTGGCAGTTAAGAAATGTTTAGTGATTGACTGATGACTTATATAGCTCTTTCAGGCCTTTAATATCCCTTATCAACTTTTAATTCGTTTGAGCCTCACATTAACCCTATGAAGTCAAAACTGCAGGTATGATCCCTTCATCTTACAAATGAAGAAACTGAAGCTGGGGAAGATTAAGCAACTTGACCAGAGTCACATAAAGCAGGAAATGAAGCCAGGCCTTCATGATCTGAGCTCCAGAAGTCTATTCATTGTGCTAACATATTTACATCAATGAAATTAAAGTCAAATGAAAAGAATTCAGCATAAACATCATTGATCTTCTGCTTTATGTTTTTAAGTTCAATGTAAGAGGTAGGATGGTATAGTAGATCTAGTAGGAACAGCCTTGGAATGAGATTCCCATTCCATCTCTGACATATACTAGCCAGGTGACACTGGCAAATCACAATCTCTCAGTACCCCAGGGAATTTCCTAAAACTAATTTGTGGTTTCAAAGTGGCAGACAGTGCTTCAACTACCAGACTTCTCCACTTCAATGAAATTACAGGTGTGTTGTGTGTGTGTGTGTGTATCTCCTACTACCCTTTATCCCTGGGCCAAGTTCAATGTATTTGTATATTTAGTATATTAAGCATACCTGGGTTGATCTTCTAGACTGTCTTGCTTGCCTCGATCTTGCTTTTCTTTGGGATTCGGATTCTTCGTCCCTAACTGGAGTGAGGTATGATCTACAGTGGAAAATAAAAATCATTAGTCAGATATAGAACATATGTTAAAGGAAACATGGAATGTTATTGAGTGGGAATGAAATGTTTACTTTTTCATTAAAAAATGTTGCTGAGAAAATTCCTTAGAAATTTGTTGTATGTACTACAAAATGAGAAACTATGGTGTCAATCCATAACAACGTTAATTTTTGAATCACATTCCTTTTTGAATGTGAAAGCTAAAGCTTGTCACTTTTCTTTTCATGTTTCAGATACCATTCTGAAAGTTGGAGCGCAGTTCCACATTAGAACCAAATCTGTAGTCAATTATATTCTCTTGGGTTTTCCCTGCTTAATAATTTCTCTCTCCTCAAATTTTGAGGAAGACTTTGGTTCTGGTGAAGAAAGAAATATTTCATACACTAAAATCTGACTTAGTGAGAAAGTTCAGTAAATAGGACGCCATTTGATTCTTCGGTTAGCTGAGAAAATGTTTTTCAACTGTGGTGTTTCTACTTTAGGCAAACATAATGATAAAGTATGGATCTAGAAAGTTGAGAAAAGGCAACCTTCCTTTTTTCTTTGAAGAGGTGAAGGATGATGGGTGTGGAACACTGTGTATATTGTCAGTTAGGTGACTGTTCATTAGTATTACTGAACTACTCCCTACCTGCATACCATCTTCTTAATTTTATCTTTTCAAGAGATGGTTCACTAGGTGGGACATGGGAGAGGGATACATTAACAAATGAAGATGACATTAAAAAAATGAAAAAAAATGTTCACAAAGTAAATGTTCCTCATTATTTCCTACTTACTAAGATAGTACTTTTCTGCCACTGTAAGCAGAGAGCACAAGAAATCTTCTAAAACCATTTACCTCCACTCAGTCACCATGATTAAGAATCTTGTGGTGCTTAAGGGCCATCATTATGAATAACTTTTCAGCAATTTTCAGTTGATTAAGCACCGAACTACAAGTTCAGTGTCAAATACATTGTCTTAGTGCTGCCTGAACCAGATTAAAATGTAATTGGGAAATGTTTAATAAAAGATATTAGATTGTTATGGATTTTTTTACTTCTTAACTTTCTAAAACTAAACATTACTCCAGATTAAATCTGTGCTTATTGTATTTAGTAGGAGATGAAATTTTAGATGCACTGAAAAACATATTTTTCCTTAAAATCATATTCTACAGAATGTTTTCCCCAAAATTATATTACTCATCATCATCTAATATGTCTTTAATTTGAACAAAAAATGGCTAAATGAGATGTTTAATTAAAGAATGATGGAAATTCAAAGTTTTCATTATAAATGATCATTGCTCTAGTGAAAATTTTAAACATTTCCATGACACCACTCAACTATGAATATAATTTATGAGTCATATTTGTGTGTCATAAATACTTCTTCCTCAGTACAATTATATAATTTCTAATGAATTCATGAAAAAAAAATCTCATGAAAATCTTCTCTCCTTCCAAAAAAAATTCATATTGTGAGTCTAAATTCAAGAAACAGAATTTATTTTTGTTTTTTAAATAGCTTGTCTATACTAGGTATGATTTAAATAACAAAAAATAAATTTTGATTTGAAACATCGTGTCAAATGAGTGAACATAAACATGCTGAGTTTTAATGAGTAGATCAATTCTTTAAATTTGGTATACTCCACATTTCTTTCAGAATTAAGTCTGGTTCTTTTTGGACAAATAATGTGGTTGGAAAAGCCAAAGTGCTGAATCAACAATAATTTAAAATAATGTGGCTTCTGTGACCTGCACAAGGCCTCTCTTCCAACCCCCCTTCCCCCAGTCTATTCTACCAGTTATTTTAGGACCTGCACCTCAATGGTACAAGAGTCACTTAAATAGGAGACAAACCACAAATTCTTGAGCTAATCTGATAGAAGGGTTCAAGCTCCAGGACTACAAGTGGTTCTCCTGAGCTTCCAGTCTGGCCCTTAATGAAAGCAAGAAGGACAAAAAAACCCCATGACAAAAACCCAGAGACACTATAAAGGATGAGAATGGAAGAATACAGCTACTTCCATCACCAGTTTAGGTTCATGAGAGAGATCCACTGCAATAAAAACTCTAGAGAATTGCAGCCTTTTTGTACCCTATTAGTACTATTGGGCTTTACTGAAAAATTATAACAAAGAGAATGCATAGCAATGACGTGAGCAATTTCATGGCTTTAATCCTTGCAACAGTCACTAACCTTAATATGCTTAGCACGCTAAGACTTTTCTTTTTAAAGAACATTTTGTATTTAGCAAAGGAATTAATTTCAAATATAATACTAATTATAATTATAATATTAATTTCTAATATAAAAAGTTTTTTAGGCACTGGTGTTATTGAAATTTCCCTTTTGAAAAACTAATGAATTTATAAATATGACTGTCACTCAAATTATGCCTAAAAAAGGATAAAATTTACCTGTCCATTGCCTTTGCTATCTACCTACCTCAGTCTTATTCTATCCTAAATCTTGGACCACTATGGAAAAAAGGCAAGGGAACTCATGTGCAATGTTGGATTCTCAATCTTACACAAACCTGGTGATCTCATATCAACACATATGCAAAACCTAAAATATCAGTGAAAGTGACAATAAGAAATCTTTCTGAATTTCCTTGTTCTGGCATTAAGACAGGCCCTTTAAAAAACCATATTTATGTAAAAAAGTCAATGTTCAGTGAATTTTGCATAGATGAATAATACTGTGATTTAATTAAAAGACAAGCAAAAGATAACAGATAACAATGATTAAAAATAGCAAACATCTATTTCACATGGAACAAAACACAAGCATTAAAATTACTGCAGACATTATTAAAACAAAGTAAGCCACAAAATTTCTATAATGGAAACAAAAATTTTGACGCTTTTAAGAATTTGTTTTGTATTGTCAAACTAAGTGATATTTTAAAAAATCAGCAAATGCCATAAAAGGAGACTTTTCAAAAACAGTTCTATTTCTGTGCATATATAAATTTGGATCCTAAAAGAAGAAAAGGTTTTAAGTTGCAATATTTATGACTGACACCTTTAAAATTAGGCTTAGGGTTGAGGGTTTTGAAAGTCTAATTTCAACAACAAATTCTGTCATTTTAAAAACCTATATATAAGCTAAAAATTTAGCCAAATTTTCTGGTATTTTAAAAAGGCAAAATATATATCATCTGCCTTTAATTAATAAATATAAAAAACAAAATGTAGAAAATAAGGTTTTGGGTATGTTTCCTTGAATCTGCCCCTTTAAAGAGCACTAGAGTAGGCAAACCAGGGTTCTCTAACCAGGCTCTGGCATTAATGAGCTATGTGGCCTTGGGCAAGTTACCTATCCTCCATGGGTCTTAGTTTTTTCATGTTCTAATCTGCAAATTAAGTGATCAGATGATTTCTAAAATCTATCCCAGCTCTATAAGTCTATATCAAAACACATGCATCAATACACTAAGGAGTGTTGCTTTTCTCAGCTGAGAAGAATTCCTTCCACCAAAGTATATTCCCTTCAGGCTAAAACTTTTAAGTGCTAGGGAGTTGCATGAGACATACAGAAGTTAAGTGACATACTGATGAAGTAGTCACATAGCTAGTAGATGTCAGGGCTGGGACCTTAACAGAGAGGTCTTCCTGATTCCAACCAAGCCCAAAACTCTACATTATGTTACACTGTTGCACTTGATGGAAGTTGGGGTAGTGAGAAGAGGCTAAGGCAAGGGAATAATACTGTCAAATGCATTTAGGAATGGGAGGAAGGGGAAACCCTTTGTGTAATATGGACATATAAATGCAGGTATGCATGTTCATGTAAAATGAAATATTTGCCTATACAGAAATGGCCTTGTTTTATCCAAGTGATTTTAAAATGAATTTTTCTTATAAAAATTCTTTTTTCTTATCAACAGGGAAAAATGATGAAGAATAAAGAAACTAATTTTGGCAAATGGCAGCATACACTGAAATGTTAAATACTTTGTCCACTAAGAGTTCTCTCATTACTCAATATACTTGGTATGAAGGCAACCTTCCTGTGTTCTTAAAGGCTAAAATACTGTAATGCAAGTTTTAGGGTGATTGTGTATGCCATGTCTCTAAAGAGTACTGGCTAACAGGAGATAAACTAATTTATGGTTACAGCAACTCGTGGAATTAAATATTAAAGAGGTTGAGAACTATAGGTGAAGAGAATATTTCTATTGATGATATCACACATTTTGACACATTATTGCTGCTAATAATTTTAAAATTTCCAGAATCCTTCAGCTGCTGTATTGCTTTGGTTTCTTTTAGAATTTCCGTATACCTCTTATATTTTCTAACTCAAAGGGAAAAAAAAATTTCAATTAAAGAATTTAGAGCTAGATAATTCATTTAAAAAATTCTTTGTTCACCAATAAAAATAGCTTGAAACCATCTAAGAGAAATAGTTATATAATACATCACTACAGTAGACTCCTCTATATAGGTCTAACTTGCCTTAAGGACCAGTTAAAAAGGACCAGAGCCAAGATGAGAAGCCAGACATGACTCCTACTTTCAGTGATTTTCCTAGTGAACAGTGCTATTTCTCTGCCTCTAAATTACAAGAGTTAGATAGATCCTAATGGATTGACAGTTGTATCTGTTACAGTTTCTAGGGAAATGACACGTATTACTTCATTTATCCTAACAGAAAGATGGTCAACTAGATAAAATTTAAAAACGAAAAAACCAAGCCACCCCTTCCCCCCCTCACCCCCAAAACCACCTATCCCTGGGTATGCTCTCCCAACATTGGGTCCTTTTACACACCTGCGTCTCTCCCTGACCTCTGATGTTGAGGATACAGTGCCAGCAGTAGTTGTAGTCAAGGCTGTGGTAGAAGCGGCAGCATTTACAACAGTTGGTGCAACAGGAATGGTCACTGCCGTGGGAACACTGTCCTTGTCTTTTTCAGCACTATCCTCAGCCCACAAACGATGTGAGGTACTATAACATTATAAGCAGCAACACAAAAAGAGAAAAGGAAACAGCTAAACACCGAAAGCACTTGCTAAACAGCTGATAACATGTAACTCCAGGGATGGATTTTTTAAAAACACAAAGTGAGAAATCTCTCAGCTATGAACAATAAAGCTCACTAGGAGTAATCAGAATAAATTCACATTTAAGATTTTGATGAAAGAGTAGTTAATAATGACTAAATTTAATGTTTTATTTTTTCTTCACAGAGACATGCATAATTGCTACTTTAAGGCTGATGGATCTAAAGTTTTTGTACAACATTTTTTCTTTCTGTGAAGTAGCCAAATAAGTTTAACAGGGTAAATGAAAAAATCCACAGTCCCAGTACCTACTAAACAGAAATGCATGCACATACAAAAGCACACAGTAGACCTGAACACAAAACACAGCTGTACACTGACCTGCTTTGTGTGCCTGCTGGAGAGGAGCTGGTGGCAACCTTTGTGGTAGTGCTTGCACCTGAAAGCAGGCTTTTCTGGAGCCCAGTTGCAGAGGTAACTGTTGGTGCTGAAGTGGTACTTGGAACACTAGAATTAACCAAATCATCTTGTCTTCTACCAAAGGAACAACTGAAGGAGAGAGTCATATCTATATAGAGTGTGTTTGAATGCGGACACTAAAGTCACTGTCTACACTTTACACAAATTGGTGAGGCTTGGAATCATTAGAAACACTGAATTACTCCACACCCCAGCAGAGTTCCACCCACTACCTGCCAGAGTATATAGAGAGGCTCACTAATTTGAGAGTACAACATTTTATGAACAAGCACCATACTTAAACGTGTTTGCTCATTTAGCATACTTCTTAAAATGTCCATGGTACAATGGGCCTGAGCAGAGCACTCTGGTTTGTGTGCAACAGCCTAAGGAAACCTAGCCAGAGTCAGTCATTGTGAAGGTCTGAAGAAAACCATTTCTGAAACCCTAGACTGAGTCTTAAACCTTTAATGGGGCCTTTGAATGGATCCAAAATTCTAGGTGCTCCAGGGTCCTCTAAGAAGAACCACTGCACTTATTCTAGTCCACAACTATAAATAGTTTTGATTTGTGCCAGGAGTCCCAAAAGCAGACCAGTGAAACCTAAAGTCCAAATTTCACTCATAAACTGGGCCCACTGGGATAAAAACTAAAAACTGAAGCAGCATATAGTCATGCATTTTATATAAACTAGTATCTTCATGAAAAAATAAAACATAAAATGACTTCTTGTGAAGCTTTAAAATTTTTGTAAATTTTTCTTGTCACCTTTCATAGGAGAAAGGAAGCAAGCTTATGAAATAAGAATTAAGCAGTTTTGCTCCAACACTGCTGATAGTTAGAGAAGTCATACATTACCCTACATATTGCTTAACATTTTCTTTCCTCAGGCCAGTATGAATGCTACTAGAGCAGTCAATATCCTATTTTAGCATTCTAAGTTGGTTGCACAGGCTTGAGTTTTCACGCTAAGTAGAATTTGGGGATCAATTACTGGCTGGTTATCATTCTCATTTAGCTATTCCCATCAAATTATATGGAGTTCCAGTTCCACACGTTTATAACTGAATATATTTTCTATGGTGTGGTTAATGAATGCAATATAAATGATGGAGCCATTGCTGTGAACAAATATTTATCAATCATAGCCTGAAGGCTAAAAATATAAAAGCTAAGTTTCCCATAAACAATGAAAGAGGGTTTTTTTGAGGGGAAATATTTAATTCTAAATACTACAAATAAATATCTTTTGTTCAATAAAATATAAACTACCCCTAATACTTTTAAATATACACAATAAGGTTTTTAGTAATAATATTACCTTTTATGATAAGGTGGGCCGAGTGATGATAATCCTTCATTAATTGAGCTATTCTTCTTGATATCTTCTTCCCATTTTCTTCTTGTATACGAACCACTTGTTCGTAAGCTTGAAGAATCTCTGAAACGATCATATGGCAGACAAGAAAAATAAGTCAAGAAGCTCTGCACTAAAATGTAAACTGTAAAAATTTATTATCTGATCGAATGAAATTCTCAAGTTTTATACTTACCACTGAAAAATCAAAGAAAAGTAATATGAACGTATCAAAATTAAACTATGGACATAAAAATAACTATTAATCAAACAGAGATGTTGTGAAGTAGTAAACAAGACAGACAAGATAGAACCTCGGGTACATATGGTGTACACTACATTCTGAGATGCTGTAAATTCTGCTCTGGCAGACTGTAAAGTGAAGCTTTATCACATAATGATTATGCAAAAGGTATTTCAAATGGTATAGCTTCTCAAATATTAATAATGAATATTTCATCAATACTTTACATTGTAAAAATGCAGAAGTCCTGGTTAGCAGACACTTCTGGTTGGCAGTTAAAATAACCTTTTATTAACTGAAAATCTTAGACATATTATGAAAATTTTAATTATTTTCCTGAATATCAGACTCGAGAAAATGCAAAATTAGAAGCTATGTTATGCAAGTGAGAATGTGTACAATGTATAACTGGACTAATGTATGAAACGGAGTTAGAGAATACACAGGACCCTACATCCTATAAAAGGGTATACTTATTTAGGACACAGTATGTATTCCATGGATCTGTCTATTTTTTGCACATCTAGTATGTACTGAAGAACAGATACCATAGGCAAGACACTGTGTTCTTGGACAATGCCAGGAAAAGGGCACACAAAGAAGGCAAGATTTTTAGCCTTAAGGAACCTGATCCTCAGAAAAATACACTGAACATCCTATTCATGTCCTTAAGGGAAGTGTTAGCACGTATGTTAAGAATACTATCTTAACCATGTTAGCTTTAGCTAGTTGACAGAGAAAATTCTATTAAAAAAATCACAGAAATTGTTATGCTACATTTGAATCTCTGAAGAAAATGCAATGTTTTAATGGTTTAAAAGCAGAGATACAGTAGCAATCCATTCTGCTGTAACTGGTTTTGAAAGCAGTACAAGTTTTAATAAAACGTAAAATTTTTCCAAATGTTGTATTATTGGGCACAGGACGGTTTATTCTAGTTCTGGCACAGAGGCTGGTGGAAGGTATAATATGATAGTACCATCATGAGTAGAAGGGGAACAGCTAAGAAAGCAAAAATCATAAACATGTGTAAAGGGCTTTGAATTATTCACAAGTGATCACACTTCAGATTTTACCTCCACCCGCTGCTCCATAGCAATGGTTTATATGTAGTTTTAGAGGCTAAAATATATATATATATATGGATCAGACCCTTTGACTTGAAAGCTCCAGAAACTACTTCTCCTAATATTCTGTCATATAAATTTTCAATAAATGTAGAATGATATTAACAGGAAAACCAGAAGAAAGAAATCTTGGGGATTGGTCAATGCTACAAATCAACGTATTGGTTATTGTTTTGTTGATTGTATAGACTTTAAGAAGTGACAGAGAAAATGTAAATAATGTAGATTAAACTTAAAAGTATATTGAGTGTACATTTAAAAAAATAATCCAGATAGTTAGTTGTTAAGCATTTGCCAACAGGGGCTATGGCCAGATATGCAGCAGCTTTTACAACAGAACTTTAGTTCTTCAGTCTGAACAACACAAGGTACAGACCACTGTGAGCTGAATCAACCAAAAGAGGTACTGCAAATGCAGCCAACGATGTGGCTGATGTGCTTTCCAAGTCAGTTCTGAGCGAGTATCTGTGTCTCTCCACTTGTTACATCTGTTTGATTCCGACTTCGCCAAAGCTCTTTCTGTGGTGGTTACAGCAATTAATGTAACCAATGTTTAGTGAAGTCTTGCTTACTTTCTAAGACACTGTCTACTGTTGTCTCTAAACTGAGCTCACTAATGGGCAATCTCTCTGCTCCTCTGCATAGGGGTGGATATGTGGCTGATGAACTACTGCTTTGTGAACTGCAGTCTTTTTCTCTGCTGCTGTCACTGGATGAAGGTAAAGGAAGAAACTTGCATGTGTTTATGAAAGCCCAGTAAACTTCTCAATCACTATAGAAAAGAATTATTCATCCTTTCCGCCTTTTTAAAATGTTAGTTAAAAAAGCTTGCCGCTTAACAGATAAATGCTGTTTTCTCATTCTTTTCACAGGTCTTAGAAGGGAAAGAAAAGGGATACTAGTGGCATTTAAATGGAAATTTTAAATAAAATGGCACGCCCACTTTAACTAACTTCAAAGATTTAAAAAAAAACTTTTATAAAACTAAAGCAAATTATTTAGATTTTGCTGAGAAAGTCACCTGTTTTCTTTCTCCTCGATGTCTGACGTACTGGCCAGACGCCTAGGTATTGTAGGTGTAACATATGCAAGTCTAGTTCCTTTGTTATCTTTCTCCTGCAAGACAGGGAAAAAATTAAAGTTAAACTAAAATACAACCAATATTTATTCAAAAATGTGTAAGTATTCAGCTATTGGAACTTAGAAGAACATAATTAGGAACCATGTGTTACAATCTTGGCTTTGTCACTGCATGATCTTGGGAAAATGACAATTTTTTAGGACTGTGGTTTTCTGATTTGTAAAATGAGGAAGTAGAACTAGATAATCTCTAAGACTTCTTCCATCACAAATGCCCATAACGCTAATATTCTTTATTTACTGTTCAATCCTTCTGCCTTTATTAAAAGATCACCTAAAGTTTGGAATTGAGGAGATGAAAATTCCTTTACCATTTCTATGAAGTTTCCTACATCTGGTAAAAATAAGCTACTCAAAATAATGTAATTTTGTAGTTTGAGGGCTCTACTTGTTCATTTCAAAGCTACAGATACCTCAAAAATTCTTTTTCATCTGGTTCAACAAGGTCAAAAACATTTTTTGCAGATATACATTACTAGCTGTGCTGGCACTTTAAGTATTTTTGCATGCTATGTTATATTTCAGTTAACATAAGTTTATTTTCACTTTTTGCTACTACTGAATCGCTGTATATAATGACTTTAAATTAGTTCAGGAAGCTTTATTATTCAAAGAATCAAATGAGAAGTCATTCTTTACTGTGTTGAGGGGAATTGTTCTATAATTTAATTTTCATATAGTTTTCGGTCAATATATTCTTATGACATCTTTAAATAATAAACTCTTAAAAGAAAATGCTGGTAAAAACAAATCCAAATTTCAAAAAAATCAAACTGGCTTATAAGCTATAGTTAGAAGGGCAGCAACTGAAGCAGTCCCTAAAAACAGGTTATCTTGGCTAGGCATCGTATATAGGCTAGAACTGGAGGACAAAACTGGGCTAGGCAAACAACTCATATTTAAAGATCCCAAGTGCTTCTGTGATAGAAGAGTTTATTTATTCAAGACCCTCAGTGCCCTCCTATGTGACTGTGAATCACTGAACACCAAAATTTCCAAAAAAAATTGAAATTTGAGGTGATTTAAATATAAAATAATGAATAAACATATATGAGGTAGGCTATGGTATATCACTAAGGGTGACATATATGACATGCAGTAATTATAATATTAGTTAACATTTATATATAATGCATACTGTATTGCCAGGCATTATCCTAAGTGCTTTATGATCTTATTTGTTTCTTACCACCCTGGGAAGTAGGGACTATTATTAACTCCATTTTACAGATGAGGAAACTAAGGCAAACAGAGGTTGTGACCTAAGGTCACACACAACCACTAAGTGTCTGAGGCTGGATTTGAACTCAGGTCTGCCTCACTGCAGACCCAGCAGTTTAACACTGCCAAAGTAGCATGAAAAATATAATCAAAGGAAGAGGCAGGAAGGGCACATGGCAAGAATGAGGCACAGAAGACGAAAAACACTGATATATTAATACCTACAAAATGTTAAAATGTGTAAAAGAATCCGCACTTAATAGTAGTCAGACACTATATAGAGTATTTATGGGAGACCATATAAAAGAAAGACATGATATGAAAATTCATTAATGGGTAAATGCACCCAGCAAAGCATCTAAGGCTTAAATTCAAAGCAAGAATGAAGTTTACCCATATTAAATCATAGAACTTAGTAATCCAGGCAATTAAAACATTGCACTCCAGATCCAGTACCTGTCTAAAGCAGGTACTCAAATGTACCAGGCAAGGTATTCCATGATAATTTTTGTTCTTTCTGATTATTATTAAATATGAAATTCTTCTTGCAGGACAGTACACAGTAGATCTGGTAGGATATGACATCATTCCCCTAGCCCACTGAAGCCAAGTTCATGGCAGTGGAAACAATAATTGCCTAGAGTTATAAGAGTTCTCACTTATTAGCTATTTTACTTAAATTCCTTTGGTCTCTGTTTTCTCATCCGTAATCAAGCAAGTTGTACTGACACAGAAAGCCTGGCTCTGGAGTCAGAGGACCTGAGTTCAAGTCATGTAACCTCCCTGGGCCTCCGCTTCCTCATCTGTAAAAATAAAGGGGCTGGAGAAGTGGCTTCTGAAGTCCTTCCCAGCTCTAGGGCTGGGAGAATTTTAGCAGGCTATTGGAGAGAATCCAGTAAGATGATGCCTATCAAAGTAACACTGAAGGACTAGTGAGATTTGGGGTCCTACTAATGATTACTAGTTATAGTATTATAGGAAAAACAATTAGATACACGGTGATAATTTACCTTTTCTTTATTATCCAATGAAGAAGAAAGCCTGGGGCTGGATGCTGAGCGCATAACCCCTGCTGTGTCCTTCTCTTTCTGGGCTTCTTTAGAGGCTGTGATTTCAGCAAGGGCACCATAGCTGCCTGTCTTCCTAAGACCAAGCCGCCAAGAAGCTGGGGATTCATCTTTTCTCTCCTCTTCTTTTGGGGAAATCTTTGTAGAAGCTGGAAACTGTTTTTGTTTGTAAAAAGGGGGGGGGGAAGTAAATCCATCATATTAGGACCTGAATCAAGATAACACTTGTAAGCAAACAGGACACAAAAATATGATCTTAAGAGAAAATACTGTTTTCCTATGTTAATGACTTCATCAATAATGAGGACATCCAAAGCTGAAAAAATGGAATAGAATTTTAGAAGTTAGGCTTACGAAAATACACTCCACACATTTTAATCACACAGATACCAAGATGCAAATCTAGACAAAGCAGAAGTAATCACACAGTAAAAATTTAAAACCATGCAAATGTAGCACTGGCATTTGGATTAAGTTTGTTATACTGTAACCTAAAACAAATTCTCGTACATACAAAATCCTCACCAGAAGTTTTTCACCCTTACTGGGCACAAGAACAATGCCAGTTTTGCGTAACCCCTGCCTCCATGATGCAGGATCTATTGATTCCGCCACAGGAATGATAGGAGGAATGAAATCATACTAAAGCCAATTAAAACATGACATGTAAAGAAATGAAGATTGAAAGAAAGAACACAAAAGAGTTAAGAAAAGACACCATATTCATTTGCTCACTTAAGTCCAGAAACTAGAAATACTGATCTTGGGCTTTAAAATAATTGACAATAAGCTTTAATCTTAACACAGAAGTCATACAATAAAAGAAGCTGTTAGAGAAATAAGCTGTATTCCCAAGACAGTTAAAATTAAACAACATTCATTAAAACAGCAAGCCAGAGTACCTAGTGCATAAAAGTAGCTCAATTTAAAAACATAAACAAAAGAACACCAACCACTTTGAGACCAACAGACAAAAATGTGAAATATGAATTTTGGGTTTTGCTCAGTCATACAGTTTGCTTTAAAAATTTTGTTGTACAGATTCAAAAATGGAGGAAAAAAGCAATGATTAAATTTTTCTGATCCAAATTTAATATAAATTAATTATATGAATTCTCAGGGAAATTAAAGTTGGAATATTTTAAGAGATGATAAAGGTGGTTTATTCTTGAGAGATCGCTTAAAAAAGACAAATTTTTATAATTTAACACAATTTATCTCAGGAATGATTTTTGATTAATGATTACTATAAGAAATTTGAGCTTCATAACTAACTGAAAAAAAACATTCAATTCTATTTGATCTTGAGCTCTAAGAGAACAGGAATCACATCATATTTTAACTTTGTATTTCCCTCCAATATCTCTTCTTCAATATTCTGCACAAAGTATATGCTTACTAAAAGCTTGAAGGAGCTGGAAGATAGTATGTCTTCACATTAGGAATACAGCCTCAAATTTAAATTAGCAGTTGGGTATTAATTTCCATGAAAGAAGAAAATTCAGACTGATACTACCCAATGCCAATGGAACTGCTAACAGGAATTAGGAAACAAGAAAATAATGATACTATTTTATAGGCACACTTTGTTGCACAAAGGTGATACTACCCAATATGATCCTCTGAAGTGGCTCCAAATGATTTCTGACTGTGTCTAAAATAAATTGTATTCTCCTCAATAGGTAAAAATTTGCTCATTCAAAAGTGTTGCAGTTTTTGAAGGCAATTTTGAAAAGGGGGGGAAAAACCCTTTTAACAATGGCATTGTCATTATAATAAAGGTATTCTGTCCTAGGGTGACTAGCTTTGAAGATGATTAGTTCTTTGAATGGATTAGTTCCGCTGAACTTGTTAAGAAATGAGAGTACAATATACTGCTGAAATTGGTACTTTATTTTTAATTAAATACCACAGAAATGTCCTCTTGCCTATAAATAGGGTTACTTTACAGAATTTGAGTTGAGGATTCAAATTAGAAGCCAAGTAACCAAGAAAAACTAGACACACCTAACAAATAATACCTTAAAGTAGACCACTTTACAAAGTAAATAGGCTGCTAAATTTTTTCAGTACTAATTTATGGAATCAGGTTAAAGGGTATGTGAAGAAGAAATGTTTCAGTTCTTCAAACCATGTGCCTTATTTAATTCTGCATTTAATGATAACTGTACATGCAATTAACCAGAACATAATACTGGAGAATTCTAATTAAATGAGGTTCTACTGTATAAAGAAAACTATGTTTTAACTAAGATGATTTATTGTAAATATGTGAGGTATTAAAGAAATGACTGATGCACAAAAGTATCTGTAGATATTAGAGGACAATGGACAGACTCTAGAAACAGAGAAATATAACTAGGTGGATAAATATGTCCTACAAGGTGATACGTATCACTAGAGGAATTGAAATATACCAGAATGGAGATGGAAATATGATTCAGCAGATCTGGAGAGGCAAATCAAGGGGTTGCACAGATGGTTTTATTGAGTATCCAAAGGCAAGAAGACATTGTTCATTTTCCTACAGTCAGTGCAAAAGAACCAAAATCCCAAACCACACACAAAAAACCACTATGAAAAACTGTTAACTCACGTGCCAATAATGGAGGTTGAAGAACCTGGTGTTAACACTCTTCAAATTAAATGAACAAAACCACTGATAACTTGCTGGCTTCAATACAATGGTAAACAAAGGGGAGGATGGCAAACTTTCTGATGGAGTAGTTGTAATAAAAGTTGGGTGGAATAAGTAACGTGGAACAAATGAATAGAAAGTAAGATCAAATTATATAAGCACTAAAAATGCTACATGTGCCGCTGTTGAGGAAGGCATAATTTTAGAAGGTGGTTTGATGCAAATGGCCTTATTATTTACTATTATTAATGGACAATTAATTTCTGCAAATGAGGATTTTTTAAAAAATGAAATAATAAAGACACTGGAAATTTCCACAGTAACCATTGCTAAGTATGTAGGTTTAAGAGTCATTGATAGCTGAGAAAATTTTACAAAGCTCTTCAGAGACTGGTTATGATATGATGCTTGGAGATCTTATGAATATGGTTGAGAAAGTTCTGTTAGATGCTATTGGGGTGGCTTCTCTGTTTATTATAGCAGAAGCTGATGTCACTGAAATTCTAAAAGAAGGCACATGAGAGGAAGAAGGCATGGGTGGCATGGAGGGAGGCATGTTCTAATTTCCTGGAATAGTGCTCCATCACTATGAACTGTGATGTAAGCGAGTCTTAAAACAGCAGTCCTTGTTAACTCTAGAAGTCAGTTGGAGACAGTGTGACTCACCTGAAAGCTGATATTCAAGAAAATCACTTAATGATCAGTTATTGGCTTCAGCTGACAAATAGGTAACAGTTTACTGTTTTCATTATTCATGCCAAAAGATAATTTATTTTGTGGTTTTTTTTAATAAAAAGACATTTGTACATTCCTGATAGAGGCACAAGATCCACGTATGTGAAGTTCTGCTTTCAACTTAAATCAGTGGAGGCAGTTTTACTATTATTCTGCTAAATCAGAATTTTAGTGTTTAGCCATCACCACAAACTTCCAAAGTGGGTTTTTTTGTGTGTGTAGGTGAAGATTATTTACGATTATGAACAAAGTAGAGGACTATCCAATTAGGTGACAACCTCTGTATAATAAAACGATTTGAAATAAAATCTATAAATAAGTTGATGGCAAAAATGAAAAATGGACATAGGAAAAGATATGTATATTACATAACATTTTCACATATAAGTTTAACTGATGTGAATTAAGTTATGCTGATGTGATTTAAGAATGTAGGCTGCAAAAATTTTTTTTGGATTTTTAGGCAATTGGGGTTAAGTGACTTGCCCAGGGTCACACAGCTAGTAAGTGTTAAGTGTTTGGTCTGAGGCCGACGTCCTCCTGACTTCAGGGCCGGTGCTCTATCCACTGTGCCACCCAGCTGCCCCTGCTGCAAAAATTTTTTAAACTAGCCTTGGTACCATCATATTTGAACTCAAAAATCAGAGTATGTTTGGCTTAAGGAAACAGACTACTGAAGAAAACCAAGACAAAATCTAGCTGAACCAGATAAATGAAACAGAGAGGAGGTCTGTGCTAGAAATTATAATCTTGAGGATGCAGAGGGATCAATCCTTATGGAAGAAAAGAAACCAAAGATATGGAAGACTTTAGCACTACCAGGAAAAAAAGAGTGAAAGGGAAAGCATCAATCACTACTGACCCAAATGACTATCACCAAAATAAAAATTTTAATATAACTGATATTATTTCAAGGATATTCTTGATGAGGATACTAGAAGGGAATAGGCAAAGAGGCTTTCACAACTGATATTCCATAATGGATCACATTTTGGCACCATATAATTGACTAAAAGATGGAAAGAATACAAAATGTTTGGGTTTTGGCTACAAAAAAGTATTTGATTCTGTAGAACAAAACATTATAACTTTAAAAGCTCTCCTTCAACAATGTATCCCCCACATGATCAGAATTACACAAGATATAACCTGATCCAGTGATCCTCTGTTATATTTGATCACTGATACGAGTGAGGCACAAAACAGACACTCATATGCTGAGCAAAAGTTTTGTCCTTGTCCCAAAAAAACCAGTGTATACAGTTCAAGTTGAAGATCCCCTCTAGATGATGAGGTCCCTCCAGATGCTCTTGTATGTAGGTATCATGTGATAAATACTAATTGTATCAACTCCAAGAACACTGCAGGACCTTCTAAATGAGACACACAATCATTCAAAAGAATAAAAATTCAAGTGGAAGAAGAATGCGTATTATCCAGATTTTGAAATGCAATTCAGTGGAAAATACAGTACAACAAACAGACAAACTGAGCTCAGTGGTGAACAGAAGAGTGGGCTGGTTTGTTTCAGGGAAACTGAAAAGTCCTTTCAATGACCCTAAGACCCTACCTGAAACAAAGACACTTTTTTAAAAAAAAATAATTTTCTTTCAGTGATTTTCTATAGCTGAGTCATAGAATACTAGAGTGTGTCAAAAACTGAAACTGAGGATGGCCCAAAAGATAATGAAGAGGTGCATGGTGAGGATGCAGTGAAAACATATGCACAAAAGAAAGGATGTGCTGGTTCCATAATGAGACAATGGTATAAAATTGCCTATGTGCTCCACTGGTATTCTTGCAATACCAGAAAAACCAGAGGAAGGTTCAGCACATCTAGTCAATTCCCATGCTGACTTTAACAGAGAAGACAGATAAGAATCACACTGGATCGGCAGGCATGGATGTATTGCAATTTGCATCAATGGAGGGAATTCCCAATCAAATTAATTAATCAATGAGCATTTATTAGGTGCCTACTACTATGTGGCTGACCCTGTAGACATAAGCGGTCCCCCTCACCCCCATGAAACAATCCCTTCTCACAGGTACTTATATTCAAATGGAGAAGACACTCAGTACCTAAACACGTAGTGAATAAATACAAATAAACACAAACTAGTCAAATACGAGGTATTTAACTACCTTGAGCTAATTCTTAATAATTGGTAGAGGTAAGGAAGGAGAGAATTCCAGCCATGTAGAAAGGTCAGTACAAAGGGACAGAGACGGGACCTGAGAGTGTTGTGGGTGACAGAGAGAAAGCCAATTTGGCTAGATGGCAGAGGGTAAGAAGAAGGAATAATGTTCAAAGGTAAAAGCACTGAGAGTTGCTGTAATTTAAAATTTAAATTTAAAAAAGAAAGAAAGAAAGAAAAAAGATAGGTCTACACTGAGAAAACTGGTGTTAAAGGGCAGGCATAATATTTTGGTAATAAATGTATAATCATAAAGTCTCTCCTAGTCTAATTTTCATCCAAAGTAATTGAATAGTATTTTCATATCTTCTACGTAAAAATATTTATGAAAAGTGCATTATGTAGAAATTATAGCCTTGCAAAGTATCCCCCGTCCCCACTGCCACAATTGTTAAAAGTCACAGAAAATTTTTTATAGTGGAGAAAATACTGTTTGGAGGGAATAGAGGTTCAACAGCGGGCTGTGTAACTTACTAGGTTTTTTTTTAAACTTTTGGAAAACATGTCATCTTTCTGCATCTCAATTTCCTCATCTATAACCCCGAGATTAGAACACTTATATATAACACATTGTTGTATCAAACAAGATAAAGTGTGAAATGATTTATAAATTACAATGTGACGGGGAAAAATATTATAATATTCCAAATCTTCAACAGTGCCTTGAAACCAATAAGGTCACACCCAGGCATAATGACATTATTTTTTATGACTGAATAACAGATGATAGAAACTTGGTGTGGTATAACATCTTCAAATCTTTGTCCATTCTTTGTCCAATCTGTCAATTTCTAAATGCGCTATCATGCTCATTTAGGGGGACAACTGGGGAGGGATGGAGATAATTATGTCTAATAAGGAAAACTGGCATATGGAAATGTGTTGTTTCATTAATATGCTGGAAGCAATGGAAAACAATGCTGGGCATCTCCAAGTCCCCACAAATCTAATCCTCAATCAGTCAATCAAAAAACACAGATCAAGCCCTCCATGTACTGTGTTAAGAACACTGGTGATACAAAGAAAAACAAAATCAATTCTTGATCTCAATATATTCACAGTCTAACAGGATATTCAACATGCCAACAAATAAGTATGAACAAGCTCCCTCTAGGGCAGGGGTGGGAAGCTGCAGCCTTGAGGACCCTGCTAAGGTATATTAGAAATAATCTCAGAGAGAAGTCATTACCATTAACATGAATTGGGAGAAACTTCTGAACAAGGTGAAATTTTAGTTAAGACTTGAAAGAAGCCAGGGAAGCCAAGAGGCAAAGACGAAAAGGGAGAGACAGCAGTAGAAAGTGGGGTTGGGAGGAACAGGACAGGATGGGAATGGATTTTATGGTATGAAGACAACCATGGAGGCCAGTGCCACTGGATTGTGGAGGACATGGAGGAAAGAAAGGTTTAAGAAGACAGGAGGCAGAAGGGAGTCAATGTGGGAGGGACTTTGAACACTATAGACAATTAATATCTGATCTTGGAGGTAATAGGGAGTCACTACAGTTTACTGAATGAGAGGCTAACAAAGTCAGATCTGCACTTCAGGAAAATTACTTTGACAGCAAGGTAGAAGATGAATTGGAAGGGGAAGAGATTTGTGGCAGTGAGAACAACCACCAGCTATTGTAATGATCTAAGATCGATCAAGGAAGTGATAAGGGTCTGCACCAGGGAGGTGACAGTGTCATAGGAAAGTAGCACACGCGAGAGATGTTACACAGGTAGAACAGACAGGTTGGCAACAGATTGGATATAGGGAGTGACACTGAGGAACTGAAGGTGAGCTCGGTGACTGGGAGGAAGGAGAGTGGTACTCTTAACAAGAAGGTCAGAAAGATGGATCGATTTGGGAGGAAAGACTGTATGACCACGGACAGGTTCCTTACACTCAGATTCATCATCTGTAAGAGTGATATAATGACAGCTATAGTACCTATCTCACATGTTTGTTAAGAGGTAGATACAAAATGTATTGAGGTATATAAAAGCATTTTATAAATGCTAAAATTTAGATGAATGTCAGCTATTATTATGTAAATATGAATATGGTTAGTAAAAAGTTTTCCCATTTGTAAGCCTAGTACTATTCCATCCATAGTGTGATTTGTTTTATTATCAATATTCATATCCTTAATCAATTTTTCTTGGTCCTGTTGCAAACAGATGAAATAATGAAAATGAAATGAAATTGCACAAGTATCAACAAAATACAAATGTTATAAGGAAATGCCAGTTCAATCTACAAAAACCTGAAAAATGGCTTAATGTTCCAAAACCAAATATTTTGTGAATATAATATTTTTAAAATTAAAATGACTAAATAATTATCAATATGTAATTGTGAATAATCCATTTTGTACCTCTGAGCAAAATGCACATTTCAATGAACAAATTTTTTTTTACTTACCTTTTTAATGGGTGATGTAGGTGTCACCTGGCCAGAAGATAAGGTAGGTGTTGTGACAGCTACAGGAGCTGCTGGCACATTGGAGGTACTGGTGTTAGTAACAGATGCCAAAGGTTTTGTTTTATCTTAAAGACATAAAAGCAAACATTTGGTTATTAAAAGACAAGACTAAAAATATTTCTGTTCAACTTCTTTGATGTGAAAAATATAATTAAATCTTCTTCTGAAATTATTTTTCAAAAATAAAAACACTAAAAATGGTATATGGGAACTCTCAATATGTAAAATGAAAATAAAGTCCAAGAAAAAGGTTACAAAAAACAGGTAGATTCTGCTGCATTTATAATATAAATAAAATTCGATAAAAACATGGTAAATGGTCTCTAGACAAAATAAATGTGATCACACAACTCTACACTGACTTCTTATATATAGTGTAAAAATTTAAAAATCATTAAAACAAGCATTTAAAGAAATTATGATGAAGACTCTGTTTATTACTAATCTTCATTAGTAATGAACTACTGGGACTCTGAAACGAGTCCATAAAAACTAACTAGCTAGCTAACTTTCTCTCTCTCTGATAGACAGCACTGACTAGACATAATTACAAGCAGAAAGAGGTTAATAACCTTTGTTGCAATAGAAACTGAAATATAATGTACATGAAATGTATATGAATGTATATGAAAATCCTAAGTAACCCAAAAAATATTTGCCTGGCATATAGAGATGTGTAAAGAGAAATGGTGGAATTCTTACTGATATGGGAGAGGAACTGAACATTCTTGAGAAAACACTTGTATTCTCCATCATACTACTCTCTACTAGTTTTCAATGAAATCTTCCATTTTAATGTTAATGTGTTACCTTCAAAAAACACAGCAAGATAACATGCACTTTGTTTTTTACATTCTTTCTGGTAATGGTAACAGATTTTTAATGACTCATTGATGCTTTTACCCAGTTTCCATAGCAAGTAACAAATTGGGGTAAAAGGTGTCAAGTGTGGCTATGTAACAAAGATATGAGATAACCACCAAATTTGGAAATTAACTAAAACCTCCTTGGCCCCTACCATAAACTGCAATCCAGTTCTTTCTTTCTTAAAGCCTATGTGGCTCTTCTATCTTAGTATGGACTCTTAAGAACCGAATTAACCAATCAACTTTGCAAGAATCAAAGTGGGTTAAAAAAAAAGCACAATTAGAATTTTTCTTTATTAAAAAAAATCAATTTGCTTCCAATTAAAAATATGAATGAGGGATCTGAAAAAGATTTTCACAGATCATTCAAAAGAAATGGGAAGTGTTATCCTTGTCTTGAGCTTTCTTTTTTGGTTAATAAGAGAGTGGTCTGTTTTTTCTAACTAGGTAGGTAAACTGTTCAAGATACAGTCGTTTTTTTAAAAGTTACTTTAAGTAAAATATTTTTACATAAGCTACTATAAAAGCTTAAAAAGAAAAGACAAACTTTTATACATTAAACAGCTTTTACAAAGAAATGCCCAATTTGTCATTTTGCCAAATGAAATGACAAGTTAGATTAAAAAAAAAAAGCAAAAAGAAATCACAAGGACATGTAAATTTCTTGTCAAACTATTTCAAATATAATGGACTTTTAAAACAAGAAGAATAAAATCATTCCTATGATTCTATACTTAGAACTTGAGGAACTTCTGCTCAAAGGCTAAAGTGAAGGCAAAAAAAGGGGGGAGCCAAAGGCTGGTATTTGTTGGTTTCATGTTCAGAAGGTATTATTTGAAAACATAGAATCTTCAGGATATAAAGGAGAAAGAACATGGAAGATAACTAAGGTCCTGCACCTTAGAAATTGATACTTGAAGTACTCCTAACACCTGCAAAGTAGGTGCTCAGGAGAGACCTAACAATAAGCCCATAAAAACATAGCACTGTTGGAACTGAAGAGTCAGAAAATGATCCCAGAATAAACCAATGAGCAAATGAAAAAGCATTTATCAAGCACTTACTATATGCAAAGCACTGAGCTAAGTATGGGCTTCAGATACCAATAGAAAAGTAAGATGTTACTCGCTGTCAAGAAGAGCACACATTTTAGCCGCAAGGCAGATGGAAAGATCCCACATTCCTTAGGCACATGCCAAAGCAGATGGTAATACACTTTTCCTAATGTCATTTTCATTTATATAACTATATCCATCTCTAATGTTGACTAATTCAGCCAGGGCCAAGAGCTTTGAAGGCGAATACTTTCTTTTTGGGAGCCTTGAGTACCTAAGGTTGCTGAGAAGGCAAGAGCTTGCAGTAACTACAAAGGAAGTGCCAGATCACATCTTCACTTGGGTTGCTTTCTAAACGTTGACTGCAGGGGCCAGGATGGTCAAGAATGAACCAAAGCAATGATATACAAGAGCTAAAGAAAGGTTACTAAGACAACGGAGTATGGATTCAGAGTGGATATATGCATGGCTAGGCAAACTTAAGTAGGGAATAAGGGTGCGGAATGACTGAATGACCTGGGGAGAAGTAGGAAAGAAACACCTGTGAGCATCTTACGGATGGGAGGAAAGTGGAATATGACTCGATAAAATAATGCTTTGTTTTCAGAGCTGAGGGAAACTTAAACTATACATCCACAGCAAGCTCACTTTAGATATCTTTGAGCTGAAGCTCAATAAAGTAAAGGTTTGTTCCAAGTTACTATTTAACCTAAAAGGTTATAATGCAGGATTTCAGAAACATGAAAGTGAATTCACACAAGAACATAAGCATATAGGACCTGGAATGAGAGGGGTACAGAAATTAAGAGGAGGAGGGGGAAATGATTTTAATTCTGTCTCTCTGATACTATAAATGCTGCATATAACTTGTAGAATGCCACAATCAGCAAAACATCAAAAATAGCAGATACATTGAAGGGCAATGGCAGTAGACTGTAATATATTATCCAAGCAAGAATTTGCACAAAAGATTCAAACACATCACAAAATCAGCCAAATTTATAAAAAATAAGAGCCATTCCCCAATTGATAAATGGCCAAAAGATATAAACAGGCAGTTTTCAGAAGAAATCAAAGCTATTAATAATCACATGAAAAAATGTTCTTCTGAGGTGCAATAACAAATGCTGGAGGGGATGTGGAAAAATAGCAACACTCCTACACTGTTGGTGAAGTTGTGAACTGGTCCAACACCCTGGAGAACAATTTGGAACTATGCTCAAAGGACTATAAAATTGTGCATACCCTTTGATCTAGCAATAACTACTACTACAAAGAAATCAAAGAAAAAGGAAAAGGACTATGAAGGCAAAGAACTAGAAACTGAGGGGATGCCCATCAATTAGGGAATGGCTGAACAAGTTGTGGCACATGACTGATGGAATACTATTTTGCTATAAGAAATAACAAACTAGACAGTTTCAGAAAAACCTGGGAAGACCTGCAAAATTTGATGCAAAGTGAAGTAGGCAGAACCAGAAGAACAATGCATACAATAACAGCAACACTGTGACGAGGATCAACTGTGAAAGACTTAGCTACTCTGATCAATACAATGTTCCAAGAAAATTCCAAAAGATTCATGATGAGAAATGCAATCTACCTCCAGAAAGAGAAATGAAGAACTCTGCAGTTTGAAGCATATCTTTTTCACTTTCAATGTATGGTCATACAGACAGTGAGGGATAACAGATGACTGGCCAGCCCACCTGTGATCTCTCCAACACTGGGTAGAACTTTCTATGGAGTATTTATGGTAGAACATGGACAAGATGGTTGGTGATCTACTGCTGTGATTGAGGGAGTACTCACAATGGAGAGATCACAAATTCACTGAAGTACAGCAGAAGAATTTTAGAATTACATGTAATTTCAAGAACTTTTTGAGTAGTTTAGAACCTGAATGATCATGGCTAATTTTAGCACAGAGAATTTGTCAAAATTTTAATTCTCTACTTCAAAACACAGAATGAAAACTGTGCCATGTACTAATTTTCCCCCAATAAACAAAAGGAGAAGCATCTAAGTCAATTTATGCCTCAATAATTTAATAAAATGTAAGTTGAATCTATTTAAAATTACTGATCTAAAAAGGCATTTTTTAGTTGGAATGCTTTGCATATAGTAAGTGCTCAATAAGCAATTAGAGAATGAAAGCCTATTTAGTCAACTTCATAAAAAACTATTTAAAAAATAGCTAATAGTAACTGTCATATAATTAAGATTTGGTCAACAAACATTAAACACCTACTATAAACAGTCCAATTTGTACCAGTGAGCAAAATGTATGTTTAAATGAATACATTTTTGGGGAAGCTAGGTGATGCAGTGGATAGAGCACCAGCCCTGGATTCAGGAATACCTGAGTTCAAATCCGGCCTCAGACACATAACACTTACTAGCTGTGTGACCCTGGGCAAGTCACTTAACCCCACTGACTGGCCAAAGAAAAAAAAACCACAAAAAACAAAAATACATTTTTTCTTACCTTTTTAAATAGGTCCACAATATTTTCAGCAGTATTATTTCTAATTGCAAAAAATTAGCAAAAATCCAAATGACCAATAGCTGGTAAATGATTGAATAAACTCTGGTAAGCAACAATGTGGGACAATGGAAGTAGATGGACTTTGGAGTCAAGAGGACCAATCTCTTTGGGCTTTAATGTCCTTATTTTTGTTAGAATGGGAAACTGTGAAGGTCCATTCCCATTCTATATGATCCTATGTATATTAATGTTATAGAATACTAATAACACGAAGATTATGAGAAAATATGAACCTTTATGAAGCAATGCTAAGCCAAGAATACTTAACAAGAAGAGCAATGTGCACACTGACTACAACTATACAAAAATGAAAATGCATATATACAAAGAGATAAATAACCAGTAAACTGAAGGAAATAAAGGGAAAAGCCACTATTATGCTTGAACATTTAAAATATATTTGAATAGGTTCAATATCATTTTATGCTGTGATACTTTATATGCAGAATTATATGTACGTTGTTCTCAAAGTTTTAGTGCACCTTTATGGTGTAATCAGCTTACAACTGAGGGGCAGCTAGGTGGTGCAGTGGATAGAGTACCGGCCCTGGAGTCAGGAGGACCTGAGTTCAAATCTGGCTTCAGACACATAATACTTACTATCTGTGTGACCCTGGGCAAGTCACTTAACCCCAATTGCCGCCCCCCCCGCTTACAATTGCACAAATTTAAAATTAAAGGGATGAAAATTCTTCAAAAGGTTAAATGACTTTAACCAATGATTTTTCTAGTACAGCCACCCTCTTTTAGGATTACAAATTGGCTCTGTGAAAGAATGGAAATGTTACTGAAGGCAATTAGGAGCAATGCTAGGGACCATCAGAACCTGCTCTCTAGAATGACACTACAATGTGGTGTGCTTAAATTATATTAACATTATTGTCAATCATTGCCAATTAGGGCAACATTACACAGGGTGTGCAGGCCGAATGTAACATATACATTTTGTTCAGGAAATAACTGCTCAATTAAGTCTAAGAACAAGTATTAATTTTCCCATACTAATAAGATCTTACTCTAGAGTTCATCAGAAGCCTAAAAGCCCTCTTATTCTAAAAAAGAATTTACCTGTTTCAGCTTCTGATTCTGAGTCATCTTCCTCATCTTCTTCACTAGAGCAACTAGATTCATCTTTCTTGCCTTCTTCTTCTTCATCTGCCTTTTCCTGCTCCAGAGATTCAATACTGGTTGCATTTTTCTCTGGCTCAATAATTAATGTTTCTTTACTGCAGGTGAAAATATGTTTAATTACAAAATCATGCTGAATACAAAGCTCAAATTTTATAAAGGCTACCTAGATTACTGAAAATCAAATAACTTTATAAAATTTTCCCCAAACAATAATGAAACTCATTTAAATATTTTACTTACTTTTTAAATGCTTTTTGTGACTGGTTGTTGTCCATATTGGCCGTAGACTCGATTAGTGGAGACTTCTTTTCTCGCTTTTCACTATGGAGCTTTCGTAAAATCATGAGTGGAAAAAAATTATTATCAAAATGACATGAAGCTGTAACGTGTACAGTTACATGTATTAGGCACATGACCTATCTGTCTCAGTCATTTTCTTTAAAAAGGATCTATTTTACCTGAAACATGAGGACTGAGAGAGAGATGAAACAGCGACAAAGCGGACAGTTTTCAAGGACACAAGGAACTTGATTCAACTACCCAGTTATTCTTTACGTTTAGTTCCATTTAATAGCCATGATTTCCCCCTTAGATAAGCGTGAAAAAGTAAAGGACGGGTATTTTGGTCAAAGAGTATTAATAAAACCAGGTGTTAGGTTGTTTGTTTTTTAAAAGAAGCCAGAGGTAGTAAGAAGTTCCTACTTACTTCTAGCCATGTTAACATTAAGCAACGAGTCAAAATGCTCAATTTACGCAGAAAAAAACAAAAATCCCTTGATAACCTTTTCCAGACTAGGGTCAAATGACTGTCAGGAAGAGATTAAGAGAGACACAACAAAACACCAAAAGAAAGGAAAATTTCTAACATTTAAAGTTAAAAACCAAGCAATTATCTATGTGTTTTATATAGTTCTTAAACATACCAGATTTTGTTTCTTTTGCAGTTCTTCTAAATATCCTAGGATGTCTTCATCTGCTACATCAAAGGCAGTCTGACCCTACATGGGGAAATTTTTTAAAAGTTTTTTTTAAGTTAACATAGTGTAACATTCATTTTCTTTATAATTATACCAAAACCCACCCATGTGCTTGAGTAAACATCCAAGAATTGTGTGTCTGCAGGGGCTGTTTGCCCAGCTACAATCCTATATACGGAAGAAGCCAACCTCCTATACCTCACTCTTATTGCCACTCAACACCTGCTATATCTATTCAGCGTATAGAAAGACTTCTTTCTTCCTTCTCTCTCTCTCTCTCTCTCTCTCTCTCTCTCTCTCTCTCTCTCTCTCTCTCGTTTTTATTTTCTGTATTGGTGTGGCTGGGCAAGGAGGACAGCACGCATACCTATTTTATAGCAAAGTACCAAAGCCACAACAGGCTTAAAAATGAAATTTCTATAAAGTGCAATTCACGGCAGTTATAGAGCAATTAACAGGACTGCCCGATTCTTTACCTTTTTAAATAAGCGACAGCCTCAGGAACCATAACTCATCAAATTTTAAAAAATATTCAGAGGAACATCTATCATTCTGTATCTGTTCACTGACCAAACAGTAACACTTTCCTTTGCTATCCTGCATTGTCCCTATTCGCAGACTCACTGATACAAGTTTCCAGAATGACAAAAATTCATTCTTTAAGAAAAGTGATATGCTGTACAAGGAAAAGTGCTATATGTTGACAAAGATATGATTAAGTCTCAGAACCAATTCTTTTTCACACGGAAAACAATACCATATGAAAAAGCACTTCAAGCTTCAGAGATACAGAAAATGCAAATTGTATGACTAAATGGCAAGTCCCAAAATTAAATTAATGTAAATTTGTAAATGCATGCTTCAATAGTAACTGATCTTTTGAAAGAAAAGGTTCCTGGTGTTTAATTTTACTTAAAGAACAGGATATTAGCACTTTATGGAGAAAGGACATATGCTTCCTGTTGTGGTCAAAGTCAGGGTATGTATAAATACATCTCAAACTGTAAAATTAAATTTTCTGCTTATACTTCATAAAAGCAACATTCTGTCTTTACTCCAAAACATGCAAATATCTGTATCGAAAAAAGATGTAAAAAATGAGTTTGGGTTAAAGGGAACTTACCTACATATACCAAAAATCATCTTTTGCAAATTCCTTTCTTTTTCTTTTTTTCTGTTAGTCAATTGGGTTAAGTGACTTGCCCAGGGTCACACAGGCTAGTGTCAAGTATCTGAGGCTGGATTTGAACTCAGGTCCAGGGCCTGTGCACTATCTACTGTGCCACCTAGCTTCCCCAAAATACCCCTTTTTTTTGGGGGGGGGAACTTTTTGGTGAGGCAATTGGGGTTAAGCGAATTGCTCAGGGTCACACTGCTAGTTAAGTGTCAAGTGTTTGAGGCTGGATTTGAACTCAGGTCCTCCTGACTCCAACGCCAGAGCTCTATCCACTGTGCTACCTAGCTGCCCCTATCTTCTGCAAATTTCACCTATAAAAACTGCTCTTGAATTTTGTTGTGGCCAGATGAACTTACTGGTCTGCCAGCATTTCCCCTTCCTCTCCTGGTTCAGTGCAAGAAAAGTGCTGGCTGAAATAAGAAAATTTGTTTCTTTTTCAGTTTCTAGTATTGAAAGTCAAAGGTAGTTCCCACATAAATGGAATGAATATTGAACAAACTGAAAATTTCAATTTGGGCCTATAGTTATCTAGGTAATCTAAATAATATCCTAAATAAATCTAAATGTTTTCCCTTTGACTTATTGGTTATTCTACATTGCCTCCATAGGTTCAGCGCTACAAAAGAATGCTTTTTAAAGCAGCTTTGATTCAAAAACTCTGTTCAGAGCTATTATTTTTTCAAATTTGGCTTTGTAAAGAGCTTGGTAAAAGAAAGGGATTATTTGTGCAAAATAATTAACAGAATTAGAATCTGAATATTCCAGAGTTTTCAGAGGCTTAGAGATCATTTATTCTAATTTCCTTGTTTTACAGATGGGGAAAATGAAGTCCATAGACCTTTTCAAGGTCAAACTGTAATTGAATCTGAACTAGAACCCACAGTCCCTAATCCCCAGGATCCAATGGAATTTTGACATCACCACTAATAGAATTTGAAGCATCTGTCAACATTCCTATTCAAAAATAAAACAAACAAATCTTGATAATTTTAGCAGCAATTAAATAGGAAGGAGTTGTTTTATTTACTAGGAGTTTTCCTTTTTAAGGATAAGAAACATGATCCCCTTACTAACCTTTCTTTTCACTTTCTCCCTCGACAAATGAGTCTACTTTGCAAACAGCAGCTGATAGAGAATAAAAACTAGAGTAAAATGCAGGCTGTGAACACATAAAAATCAAACCTATCAATTTAACCTATTAGCCCAGACAGGTACTCTAAATAGTCTACAGGACACTTATCAACCTAGTAGTTGCCAAACTACACACATCATGTGATTCTTAATCACCTTTTAAGGCTCTTCTGCTCTTCCAATTAAACAGTATGTTAAAGGAATCACACCATGGAATGATTCACTAATATTCAAGACTATTGGGAAGATGATTCAGAAGGATATATAAGTGGCCTGGATAGAGCAGATGAGAATTACATAATCAACTACTATGTTGATATGCCATCTTAAAGATGAGACTACTTAAAAGAAATTTCGTCCAAATAGGTAACATTATATGTGATAGGTTTTGTTCTACATAGTTTAACTATTTTATAAATTTATTCTTTTTATTATTTATTATCACTAATTGGGTTTTTTTGCTTTATGTTGAGGCAATCAGGGTTTAATGACTTGCCCTAGGGTCACACTGCTAGTAAGCGTCAAGTGTCTGAGGCCACATTTGAACTCAGGTCTTCTTGACTCCAGAGCCGCAGCTCTATCCACTGTGCCACCTGGATGCCCCTTATTCATTTATTCTTAATAGTCTCACATTTGTATATAGCCTTGAACCTTTTCAAAGTGTTTTCAAATACATAATCAAATTTATCTTGTCACAACAAAACTGAGCAAGTCAGGTATTATATACTTCTGGCTCAGTTAGGGTCTTGCCCAAGGGTACAGTGCCAGCAGGTAGTAGTCAAATGCAGAACTCAGATCTCTACATACAACACCTCTAAAGAAAAGAGGAATGATTTTCTTTTAAAAGAAATAAAATTCCTTATGTCCATTAATAGTATGAACAAAATAATGCTGCAACTAATTTAAATCTATTTATGACACCATAAAAATGCTCATGCACTGTTGATAATTTGATTATGAGTAAAAACAAAAATTTGTAGCAAAATGGGATAGTAATATTCTAAGTGCATCACAGCAAAATAATTCTCCTATTTATTAAAATAGCAAAATAATCAACTGTGATACCACAGCTTTAGAGTTACACATATATAAGACATTAAAGTTATGAAAACACATTATTAAAGAAACCCAAAATAGGCAAAAGTTTTCCGAATATTTAAAAACAAAATATAACTTGTTTTCAATTTACATATAGGAGTTAGGAAGAAATGATTTGTAAATCTTACAATACATGTTCTTTTTTTTTTAATGGTTTCTGAAAGTCATGTTCCCCATAGCTATTAACTTTTGTTGCTATGGAAACATCTATATAAACTTTTCAGAGACTACAAAATTTTAAAAATAACTGTGACAAAAATCTTTACCATGTCATTATAGAAGTGCAGAAGAAAAAATGCAGATTCATTTGCAACATCAAAAGATAAGCTTATCTTGACACAACAAAAAGTGATTTATGTTTTGATTACTATAGAGTTCTATGGAAACATAAGGTGTTATTGTTATAATACAAAGTTATCTTTAAAGACTGGAGTAAAGTCCAATGAAATTTAAAAAACTTAAGTGATTAAAAAGTAAATAAAAACAGAATTAGAATTTGGGGACTTAAGAAGGACATAACGCTGACTAAACGAAAAGACAAATTAATCTGTCACACAATGGTTCTAACTTCTATGTTCCTCAATTTTCTCATCTATAAAATGGAGATAATAATAATTAGGACCATCCACCTGCAAGGGCTGTGTGGAACTCCTTCGTAAACCTTAAAACACTATATAAAGTAAGTTATTACTATTCCCAGTTATACTAAATGATTGGTATTATTAATCCACCAGTAGGTAAGTAGTCTTCTGAGATGATGTGCAGAGGCTTTTGAACTAGTTACATTTATCTAGGTGGGTGAAGGGGTGTTATGGACCATAAACTCCTTGAGGGCAGCTGCTATGTGTCTTAAATCTCTCAATCCTCAATGCTAAGCAACATGTTGCGCACATAATCTGTGCTTAATAAGCAGTTGTTGAGTTAAGTGAACTATCATTATAGAACAGTATGATGTTTGATTTTGTCTGTGACTTTTCTAAAAGATCCTGCCAATTCCCTATAATTCTCCATGTCTCATATTACCTAAAGAAAATGTTTCAGACATTTGTACAATCCTAAGTGAGAACATCCCCAAAGCTCTCTTCCAGAAACTGCAAGGATTCTACCCTCCACGAGTGGAGAAGCAACTCTTCAAGTGGCACTGTCTGGGATAGAGAAAAGCAAGAGATGGTAAAGTGTGTCTGCTGAGTCATTCCTACTCTGTCATTGCAGCAGAAAGGGAAACCATTATTTTGAAAGTTGGGGAATCAAAGACAGTTCAGTTCAATTCAGTAAATAGTGAATAAGTTATATGTTCAAAGTACATATCTCAGAACACAATAGTTGTGACACTGATACCAGCATGAAGGTGTACAAAAAAGTACAAAAAAGGGAGCTAGTAGAAACATACTTCAAATGTCATGTTTTCTTCAACGATGTGAGACCAAGGAGATTAAGACAAGATAAGAGCCTGTAACCTTAGAAGGGAGCTAAATAAAATGCTCTAAATAAACGTGTACGCATGTGTGTGTTTTGGGTCGAGGAGGGAGGGGATGTCAGCAAATTAAACTGGCAAATTAAAAATATGTGTGATATCTCTGAAAAATTTCCATGAGCTACAGAAAAACACCACCATTATTAGAGGGAGATCAACTTAAAAGACAGAGACTCCAAACCAGACAGAGATACACCCACACATACATGTACACACAGATCTCATCCACAGCAGCTAGAATGTAGAGAGGGAAGGAGCAGCTGTGTTCTCCAACTACTGTCTAATCTGCCCACAAATTTTTAAGGTAGTAAGGTAGTACACATGAAACCTATAATATAAACAGCAATACCTATTCTAATATTTTTATAACACCTGCATATACATTTTCACATCTGCACCGCAAGACCACTCTTAAAATTAGACTGGGTAGATATTTGATATTTCTGTTTTTTAAAATGTAGCAGATGAGGCTTAGAAATGCTAAGTGACTGGTCTAAGGTTCTATCACTAGTAAGTGGTTACTAGTAGTAGAATGCAACTATAATGAGTAAGTGTTCACTCAGTCTGGTGGGCTTCCTGCTATGCTACTTTAGCTTACTACCTACTAACTAGAACTAGTAATAATGCCCATTAGAAAATATCAATGCTAAAACATGTATGTTCATCTGTTTACGTATACGTAAAAACGTAGTAATTAGTAATAAATATGAAGCAATGAAACATAAATTTTATTTTAATATCTATTTAATCCATTCTAAATAAGGAACAATTTGAGAATTAATGGTGACATTTAATGATGAAGAATGGATGAAAAAAATAACTTATTAATTGCTATGTTCATAAAACATCTGTAAAAAACAAACCAACCCAAATCTCCTAACTTCATTTCTTAAGCCATAGGACTATTGTATTAGTGGGCCTACCAGAAATCAGGAACATTATTCTCAAAATAATGAGAAAGAGATTATAAAAACACTTGAAACAAATACAAAATTTGGAAATTTACCTTCCCTTCCCAAAAAAAGGGCTAAATCCCTATGATTATTAATTCCAAAAGTACAACATAAAAATGAATTAAATTACCAATGTATTTTTGTATACCACTTGAGAAGCTATAGTTATATTTCTTACACTAAAACATGTGCACATGTTTCAATAGCTTACCACTTTGTTGATCATCTCCATATCACAAAGATTGTCCACTAAAATTCGACAGGCTTCTTCTTTACCCCAGTGAGCTGCAGCATGAAGAGGTGTCCAACCATCATAATCTTTAATATTTACATCATAGCCTGCCTGTAGTAAGAGTCTAAAGAGATTATATAATAAATTAGCTAGGCAATAAGTTAACTTTGGCAATTTGTAAAGCTACTCATCAGTTTGATTTCATGCACATTAAGTAAAAGTCGGGCAACAGGATAGGGTTAAACTATTTTGCTTTTCATATTTCGACATTTTCTCCCATGATATCTAAACTGGGACAGGTAGAAATGAGTTAAAAGAAAACTCTGGAAGAACAGATCCTAAATTAACAAAATGAAATACTATGAGTAGGTATAATTTCATTTTCATTGTCTACTAGGTCTGATACAAGTTTAGTATGAAAAATTTTATTATTACTATTATTTTTATATAAAATTTTCATTAGGTGAATCTAGTTTTCCTAGTCTGAGCCAACTACTGAACCACTCTGCCCATAAATCTGATTTAAGGTAGTATGCTTCCTTGAGTGTCCAAACAATTATTTACTAGAGGGCAAATTTTATTTGTAATTATTTACTATCGATTATATACAATTATGTATTATGTTTTATATATGAAATAATTATTACAGGGCAGCTAGGTGGTATAGTGGATAGAATGCCAGGCCCAGAGTCAGGAAGATTCATCTTTCTGAGTTCAAATCTGGCCTCAGACAATTAGTAGATGTGTAACTCTGGGCAAGTCACTTAACCCTGTTTGCCTCAATTTCTCACCTGAAAAATGAGCTAGAGAAGAAAATGTCAAACCACTCTAGTATCTCTACCAAGAAAACCTCAAATGAGGTCACAAAGTCAGACAGGATTGAAAAATAACAAATTTTATTTTACATGTTATATTCATGTTGAAGTATACACTTTGAAAAAAAAAGATTTGGTGTGGTCTTACAGGATAACAGAAAAGGGTTATATCATACTATAGAGTTGCCTTTAGGATTATATCTTATTTTACACATGAAATTTTTTTGGGGAAAATGACAAGTTCTTCATAAAGTTTTTTGAAAGGATCTTGATTTCACTTAAGAGCAGCAGTAGAAAGCAAGAGATTCTAACCAATATTACTAGAATATCAGTAATAATTTGCAGAGTTGCAAAAATTGTTAGCATGCCCTTTAACTGTACATAGGCATCACTCTTACCTGTATTTAGAATGTTAAGCTCCTAGAAGGCAAAGAACAGGCCTATAACTTGCAGGCAGCACAGCCCAACACACAAACACTAAACAATTTAATAATAATAATGATAATGATAAAGAAAACTGATGAACCTTTACCTCACTTTCCATGCTGTGAGCTTGAGAAGTCCTTCTTTTTACCTATAGGAGGTGGCAGTGATATCTAATGTATAACCCTTCATTTACATTTCAAGAACTTAATTTATGGCCTAATAAAGCACTTCAAATAGGTGCTTAACAAAAGACTAATAGATTAATGAGTAACTTCCTATCTCTTACCACAACCAAACAAATATCAAGTGACAAAAACAAACCCAGTAAGTCACATTTCAAGACATTTCTTTGTTGGGAACCCCATAAGTAGAGGTAAAAATCACATAAGAGGTAGAAGCATATACCAGAAGGAAGGTCAAAGTACAAAAACCCAATAAATATTAACTAAAACAAGATCATCCACATCAGAAAACATAGAGTATGTGTCTATGGGAGGACAGGACACGAGTGAAGGCAAAGTGAAGTAGGGAAGAGAGGGCCTTGGAAAGAAGGGTACAAGGAAAAGGCTACTGCAATAGTCTAGGAAAAATAGTAAGGTCAAAAAAGCCTTGGAGTGATCTACAACTAGGAGAATGTATGGATCTGAATCCTCTTTTTGATAAGAGGAGCTAGTAAAAGGACAAGAAGAGCAATGGATATGTTAAATGCAGGAGATCTGAATTTTCAAATAAAGAAAAGAGAATGGAAAGGAAGCAACAGAAATTTGGTGGAGGGATATCCGACTCTACCTTCAATTGAGCAGATCTAAGCAGAATCTGTGTGCTGAATTATTTTTGTCATGAAGCTGTAGATAGCTCTGTTACATACGATTTATTAGTATTGTAAATGTGACTGACTTTGTAAGTTTCATTCTCAAGGATTTCTTAATCAAGAAAGCACTGTTTACTGTAAGCTCTGCTATAGGCTTTCTGTAGAGACTTAGGTAAAAACTGAGCTTCAGGTTTCTTATTTGTAAAATGGGAAAGATACCTAATGTCCATAGTACATGAACATTGTAAAGATCGATCAATAATTTCCTAAATTCATTAAGCCCATCAGAAATGTCTTACACCTTTAACATAATAGTTAGCTCTTTTGTCTGATAAAGCTAAAAACAACAGTTCAAGTGTCACTGTGAACTTTATCATGAAATTCAATAGAAATTTCCTATCCTGATAGATTTTTGTTCTTACTATTAAGTGACTTTCACCTTATTTTAAAAAGGCTAAAAATACACTAGAAAAACTTAACTGGAAACTAAGAAATCACACATGCACACACACGCATAAATTTCAGAAAAACGTCACATCAAAACAAATCTGTTCTCCAACTTGAAAAATAAACGGACATTAAATAACCCGTAAAGAGTTTCTTCAGAACAAAAATTGGGGGAAGAGAGAGAACAATACCTGGGAATCTCAAGATAGAGTAATAAGAAGATGAAAGCATTTTTAGCATAGGAAAAAAAATGCCCCACTCTTAAGGAAACATTACTTACTTTAAAACTTCTGTATAGCCTTTAGCAGCTGCTACATGGAGTGCAGTACCACCAGACTTTGCATGCCTAACATCATTGATGTGGCCACTATTGAGCCACTGTCTTGCATCCCGAAGCATTATCCGTTCTTCTTCCTTACGGGCTGCCTCTATATCGACGCCTAAAGCAAGTGGGAGACAGGAAAGAAAGATATATAATTTTGCTTACATTAATCAAAATTTTCATGCTAAAACAAACCCCTGAAATGTTTCAAGCTTAAGAGGAATCAAATTGACAATTTACCAACAAGTGGGGGTTCAGCGGCATTGCAGAATTACTTATGGGATAGGGTTATCATCTTTTCTCTCCATTCCTCTCCACCTTTGGCCTTCTCTGACAAAAACTAATTTTCCTCATAAGAAGCCTCTTACTGCTCCTTCTGGCTACTTCACTTCATGATCTTCATCATCCCCTCCCCTATCTCTTATTATTTTCTTGGACACATTTCTTAATCCTCTGTTCTTTTCTTGGAACACTCTTTCCTTAAGAAATTTCATCCATTCTTGTGACTTCTATGAGCACCAAATGTACCTCAAACTCAAAACTAAATTTCTAGCCTTGACCATCCTCCCAAATTCCAGTTCCATATCTCTAAATATTCACTGCTATTTGCATTTGGATATCCAACATACTTCAAATTAAAAAAACTCTGATTTCTGTATTTTTTGGCATTGCACGACCATTTTCCTGGTCATTAATTATCTTGCCTCTGTCCTCTATGTTTGCTGTATTGACTTCCATCTCCTCACCATCTTTCTTTCTCTTCTAATTAATGATATTGAAATATTTTTAATTTTATCATTTTTTATGCTTATTGAATAGATGACAATCTAACCCAATCTAGCTTTTCTCAAAGTACTCTTTTTCTAGGATCTCCCTTTTACAATTATTGTATTTTATTTAGTATTAAAATATGCATGTATCTTATCTCCCAATCTTACACAATGTTTCTATATAATTTTTCTTCATATTTCAAATACCTAGCAATAGTATCTTTCACTTTGTAGATACTTGACAGATATTTGAATTTTCTTTCATGCAAATAATATATACAGCATTCCCTCCCTAAGAACAAATAATTTGGCCTCAAGAGATTAAGACTCTCCTGTAGAAAAGCCAATCAAGTGAAGCAGACAGAAGAGCAATGTAAGGCATAAGGAAAAGTAGGATATCATCTCACAGAACTCAGAGGGTGAGGTTGTGGTGGAACAAATCACACAGTAGAAGATGATACTGTTGTACAATCAATGGCTCTTTCACCTTCTCTCTCCAACCTAACGTCTCTCTTCATCCTCTAATCTCAGTAGATAAAATGACTAACCTTGAATAGGGTTAACTCACCTTCCATTTTCTCCAGGGCCTTGTTCCATCTCATATTTTCTCATCTTAATTCTCACTCTCTCTACTGGCTCATTTTCCTTGCCCTAATCGTGTCTTCTACAGAGAAAAAAAATCCTCCTATTTTTGTGCCATCTCCTTCAAGCTATAGTTCTCCCTAAATTAGACTCTGAGAAAAGTTTATACTCAACTAGTCATTCCTCCAACTACTACAAACCTTCTACTCTACTCAAACTTCTCAAGTGTCACTGATTAAATCTTTAAAATTTCAGTCCTCTTCCTTGATTCTTCTCCAGCATCTGATATGACCAATCCCTTCTTTTTGATACTCTCTCCTCTGTCAGCTTATTCATCATCCCATCTGACTACTTCTTAATTGGCTTACCTAATACATCATCTTAGTCCTCTGGCCCACTCTGTCCTTGGTCCCCTTCGACTTCAATTAACATGCATTCATGAAAGGTCTACTATGTGTCAAGTACTATACAAAGCACCAGTAGTTCTTCAAAATACAAAGAATGAAACAATTTCTACTCATGATCACTGATATAATACTCAAATCTAAATATCCATTCATGATTAATACCGTGAGCTACAGTCTGGCTTTTCCACTTGCTTGGGGAGGCTAGACGGCTAAAAGAGAGCTTGGGGTTCTTGTGGATGGAAACTCACGAGGGATGAATATGCTATAGCACTCAAGAAAGCTAATGAAATTTTAACCTGCATTAAGAGAAGTTTCATATTCCAGGATTTTAAAAATGATGGTCTGCTGAAATCTGCCTTGAACAGCTCATATCCAGAGAATTATGATCAGTTTTGAGGACCACATATATGGAAATATATTGGTAAGCAGGGGAAAACTGTGACAGCCAGGAGGATTGAAAGGCCTTAATACCCTATTAGGATTGATTAAAGGAAATGTAGATGTTTGGCAGAGAGAAGACCTTCGTGGAACACAAAGGAAAGCTAATTTGAAATAGCTATCACAAAAGACTAGCCCTGCTTAGACCCAGAAAGCAGTGGTAGAATGAGGAGTGGGGAAGTTAGATTTCAGTTTGACAAAAAGAAAGCCTTCTTAACAGAATTACCTGAAACAAAAGAGGCAGTGGGGATTCTTGGTCAAATATGTGCTGGCCCAAGTGGTCTATGTCTTTTCAAACCTGGAGACTTTTCTATTGAGACGTACCACTAACAACTCAAATTCATATTCAAAAGTAAAATGAGTATTTCCCGCTATATGTCTCCATACACTTTTACCTCCTGTATTTTCTCCACACCTCAGTCCGTGTAAAACATAGGATTATAAATTCACAGCTGAAAGGGAACTTAAGGCTTTACTGAGTCCACTCCACTCATTTTACAGATGAAGAAACTGAGGCTCCGAAGTTAAATAACTTGCTTAGAGTCATTTAGTCAGTTAGTGTCTGAAGCTGGTTTCAAAACCAAAGCAAATATGTTCTTTAAGCTAAGTCTAGCACTGTACCCACCACCATTTCCTGCTGAGGAATGACCTCCAGCTAGCACTCCCACTGCCTTCATTAACATTTCCTGATTTCTTCCTACAACTACCCCATAGAATATCCTCTACAAATGTTTGTACACTAACTTTGTCTGGAGCATTCCTCCCTTTTCTCATGTTTATATCTCATACTTAATTTGTATCCATAACCCCACAGCCTCTTTCCTCTGACCCTTGCACTGAGACAGGGACTCCCCCTCACCTCACCAGGCCACAGGCCTCCAAGCCCAGAACCAGCCCCATTAGGATGAGTCTCCCTGTGGCCTCTTCCACTCCCCTTTTTGGTTTATCCTCCCTCAGAGCTGTACTGCTTGGCAAAGAGTAAACTCTTAATGAAAGCTTTATCTATCTAAAGACCAGTGTTTGCAGAATTGGGTACTAGTCTGGCAGTAGAGAACTCAATTTAAAATCTCCGTTCAGGAAGCTAGGTGGCACAGAGGATAGAGCACAAGCCCTGGAGTTAGGAGGACCTGAGTTCAAATCTAGCCTCAGACACTTGATACTTACTAGCTGTGTGACCCTGGGCACACTTAACCCTACTGCCTAACCAAAAAGAAAAAGAAGAAAAAACAAAAAAAAGAAAAAAATCTCAGTTCTTTTTGGTGAAGGCAGGTCACTTACTCTTTCAATGCTTCAAATTTTCAATCAGCAAAATGAAGGGGGTGGGAATGTATGACCTGAATTCTCTAACTCTTGATGTGAAAACAAAACAAAAAAACCTAAACCTTATACACATTGTTTAATGCAATCTGAAGAAGACATAAAACCTGTTTTTCCCCAATGTTTATTTTGAAGTACAATGATACTTAGCAAATGAATACAGGCCTTTTCTGCCTACAGACTGAAGAGCCCCGCTTCAGTTTTGGGGGGTATAGGGGGATGGAGGTGAGAAGGCATGGCAAAAAGAGAGGGTGAACTAATCTCAAGAAATTTTCTACTACTAGAATAAGAATATAAATAACCTTTGCCAAAGTTTGCTTTAAAGTTAAAATTTGGGAACAAATATTTTAAAGGTGTATTTCAATTTTTAAAGAAAAAAAAAACCAGTTACTCCCATGCTTTGGAAAATGAATGTCATAGGTAACAACCTCTATTTTTGTAACTATCAGCACATGAGGTCTGAAGTCCAAGATCACTACTTTGCTATATATTTTACCTTGCAATCACAAAATACTCTTGGGATGTTTGTCACTATCACTTTAAAACTTAGGTCAGTAGCTTCATCTTTTGAGGGGCATATTTGGCATACCTCAAAACTAGATTCTAAAATATAAATGTAAAACTTATTTTTTGGTAAATAGTATTCTTTTCCAATTACATGGAAAGATAGTTTTCAACATTAATTTTCTATAAGATTTTGAGTTACAAATTTTTCTCCCTTCTTCCCTTCTTCCCCAAGACAGCAAGCCATCTGATATAGGCCAAGAATTCAAGATGTATCCTAGGGTTCAACTAACCTTCCTAAAGGCCCCCTTTGTCATCCCCACCCCCACTCTGCCTCCCAACCAGATACTGTCTTGCCTCATGAATTATCCACCTTTCCTCACTCCCTACAGAGAACTCAGAGATTAATTTCACTATGACCTTGAGGTCCATTTTCCCTCCTTCCCAACAGTTGGAATCCAGTCACCAAACCACTTTTCCTCCTTGGCTGTTCTTCTCCCTCACCCACCCAAAGGCTACTCCTGTATGTGTAAGGAAGTCTCTAGCTACAATCTTTCTGATAAAATGAACAATCATGCAGCCTTACAATCTGCCCTGTTCACTATCCTCTTCAGCTCATTGAGCTTGGCCACTCTTCTGATCCCCAGGCATTGCCATCTACCCTCGAGATACATGCTATAGACCAAATGGACTTGTCAACTGGCCTCTCATTGCAACCCAAGGATCACCAGGTCTTTCCGTTCATAACTAAGCTGAACTTTACTTTAAGTGTTGTCTTCCCCAATTTAGAATGTCAGCTCCTTCAACAAGGGCTGTCTCAGTTTTCTACTTCTACTGCCAGAGCAGTGCTTAACACAGAGCTTGTACGTAGCAAGTATTTAATCAATGCTCTAAATTCTCTTTAAATGCTAGTGCTTTCCCCCTAAGATGATCTTCAATTTCTCCTGTACATACCTTCTTTGTACATAGTTGTTTCCGCACTAACATATTAGACTGTTAGCTCCTAGGAAGCATGGATTGTTTTTGCCTTTCTTTGTATACCCAGTGCTTAGCAGAGTGGCTAGAACATAACGGACTATTAATGCTAACTCCTGTTGTCA